TAAAATTAATGTCACTTTCAATGATTAATACGTGTTCTTTTAAAACAATTGTTACCATTAAGTATGCATAACATCCCTCAGTCAGAAGTGATTAATGACTAGATGACAAAATGGTGAGCAGCATAAAAGATAGAGTACATATGATTGAAAGATTACTTTCAACACTTCGAATTTAAAATTTTCTGCCACAATATTGACATGAACAATATTGATGACTTTTATCATCTAGGTTACATATAACATGCAATAACTGAATGTATATTGTGACTACACTTCATGTGCCAGAACTAGATTTTTTTTTTTTTTATGTAAAGACATAATCTTGTATGGGAAATCCGGGATTATTGGACACCAAGAAAAGAAGCATCTGTAATCAAGCAGAGCCCAACAATCATATCAAGGGAAACTTTGCAAACTGAATGACACAGCAAAATACCTACATGCTCTAGATAATGACACCATCTTGCATCAGAAAATCTATATAGGAATTCAAACTTCTCAAGTTAGCTTTCTTGCTTTTTGATATTAAATGTGTTAAGCTTAAAAACTTATTGACTCTGAAGCAACTTAGGGAAGTCTTCCCTAGTCTCATATGTTGCTTTTTTTCTTCTTTTAAGTTATTTTCATAATGAAAGTAATAAAAAAAATACTGGTACTTAATAAACACTTGATTTCTCAGATTGTTTGGGCATGGATACTAAGACATGCTCACCCCCTTGTTTTCATTTTGGGCTCTTCTCACTATTTATTTCATTCACCGAGAGACATGCTGAAAGTAATTCTGCTGGTGGTTGCTTACCCATGCTATGCTTGCCCGTGTCTTCATAATACTACTACCACCATTATTTTTTTTTTTTTTGAATTAGAAATAATTTACATAACTTGCAGGAAAGGTTCTTGTGTCACTTAATTCAAATTTGGGGACCCTTACTTGTCTTGTTACTGATCTTCTGCCTCCCAGAAATCCTGACACCTTGCTAAAACTGGTTAATTACTTGTGGTAACTTTTGGTTCAAATAGTTATCTGACTATAGGATTTATATAGCAGTCTCCTTCCTAAATACATTGATAAGTTTTCTATATCACCAAACCAAAGGATCACATTTGCATTAAAATCATAGTGATAAAAATACTTAACACTTAAACACCAATTCCATTTAAGAGGATTTGAGAATTCATGGAAAATTGACTAGTATGTTGCCATTGATATCTGAGGATGAACTCAATTGTAGACCTTCTTTTCCTATGTTCTTGTCTATAGCATGCAGAAACCTAGTGCAAAATCTTTATTTGGGCAAATGTTCATGGTGAAATGAAGCATTCATTTGGACAACTCATCAGAAGGCTAACTGTAACTGAGAAGCATAGTTTAGCATGAATTATTTGCATAACTGCCTCAATTTCCATAAAATACCAGTTTAATCCATAGCAGATATCTATTTGCTGATATATTTCTGCATTCAAACTTTCGTTACTTGACCATAAGAGCCAGTCAATTATATAGCTTTTACTTAAATCATACATATTTTTTGATAGAAACGCCTAGTTTTTATATAGTGCATATCTAATTCAATTATATACACAGATGTTCACATTAGTTATATTTTGACTTACCAAACACTAATGCTATATTTATAGGAACAGGAAATACTATGTGCTTTATATGCTACAGGAAACACTAATGCTGTCTTTATGTGAACAATTTCTTTTATGCTTTCACTAAGTATAGAGTTGAGAAATGAAAGGGTAGAAATTATAAATGAAAAGTTGTACTCTAAGAATTCAATGTGACAATATACACCAAATTATGGGGCTTTTATGTATATCTTTGTGGCAACTTTTCCCATTACATGAATAGCTTAATTATTTGTTTAAAAAGGGATAAACCCATTTGAGTTTAGATGCAATAATGCATGTGTCTACACACACTTCACATGCTAAATTTATAAAATGTATCAGGTAGCTGGCATTCATGATTAGGTTAATAGATTACTGAGAGCATCCCAAATTCCAGTTACATTTGTACATAATTGTGCATTTATAAAAACCTTACAAATATAGTTTTTCCAGGAAGAGAAGTAACAATTTCACATATCTTAAATTCTTTAAACCACAATTAGGTAAATTAATTCAGCAAGATGATGATTATGAGTAAATAATTCTACTTATAAAGACTTTCCATTTTTCATCCTTGAAACAACAGCAGTTTTTTTGTTCTAACATACATTGTACAGTAAGTTACTGTCTTAAAAGAACATTTTGAAATATGGTTGGACAGGAAGTCATACACACATTTTAATCAGTAGTTTATATTACAATTGGTAAAGTGTTGCAAAATTTAAATGATGTTTAAAAACAAATGATGTTTGTTTTACAGTTATGTTAACTGGAAAGATTATTTGAAATGCTGTTTCTTAATAAGTAAATGGTTAATTACAGTTTATTGAGCAAATTTTACCATACATAATGGAAATTTCACCGACAACAGTTGTGTTGTGTTCTCAGAACAGAGAGAAGAATCCAGATTTCACTTTCCTGGCAATGTGCTGATGTCATTTGGTGCAAAAGAGAAAGCAGGATAATGTTTTAATGTTAACTGGGGATAGACCCTTTTTATTACTTTTCTAGGAATAATACTCACCTTTGTCATATTAATTGCAAACCTCATTTAAAAAATGAAATGCTAACTATTTCTAGGAACATACATTTCAGTGATGAGGATAATCAGAATGAGTGCAAATTTAACCGCAGGATGGTAAATCTACCAAAGGGAAAACCTGTAATTTTATACAAGAAAACACTTAGTTCCACTAAAAATATGTACTTCATTTAGACAGTACTTTAGTTGACTTTTAAGAATGTAGAGAGCAAAAATACTCACATTAAGCTATTTTTCTTTTATCTAGAAAGGCTGATGAGATAACAGAAATAGAGGAAATTCTCAGGAGACTTGTTTAAGAATTTCTCTTTAGAATATAGTTTAGAAAATCTTTTCTTGTGCTTTTGATTAGCAGGTTGTATTTTTCAATTCAGATTACAGCTTAGGCATACATTTGATACTTTCTGGTGAAATAACATCACTCCAGTTTATTGTAAGCAAATGTGTTCATTAAAAAATTATTGCATAATTGCTGGCAGCATCAGGGACTTCACCAAGGATTAAGTGACCATCTGTACTCTTACCTTTAGCTGTGGCACACAGGCAGGCAAGCTAATGTGGGTGTTTAAAGATGGACACGAGATACATGCAGACTTTACTCTCTCCATCCCAAATACTTTCATCAGCTATAATTTTGCCATTGAAATGAAAAGGGATGATTATGTAGTCACACAACTGGTAATGATTACCTGTAAATCAGACTTGGGAGTGTTTTGTGAGCAAATTCCATGTGTCCAACCCTAAGACATATGTACACACACACACACACAATTTAATATGCAGAATAAAGTATAGTAACATTTTCATCATTCTTTCACTTCAGTATTTTTTGAAGTATGGTTCACAGACCCAGAGAGCCTCTCACATGCTTAAGACTGGACACCATTATGTTAAGCAAAGACAGACAACTGCTCTGCTTGGCAAAGAAAATTCTACCAAGGAGGGATTATAAAAAAAAAAAAATCCACTTTTTGAAAAATGTGGGAACTCTCTCCAAATGGCTCCTCCCCTCTGCATTTTTAACTTACCTGTATCGATCTTTTCAGGGAAAGAGTTATAGCACATAAATCATAAAAGTGAAGGGAAAACTAATGTCAAATATTATAATGTATTCTGAAGTCAAGTAACTGTGACTTGTGGCACTGCTGCTAATGAACAGTTATAATCAAGCAATGGAAATTGCAGTGATTCCCTGTAGGAAAGCTATTAGTACTATATACTGTAGGAAGGTGAAAACTTGAAGGCTGAGGGGTTAAAAATAAAAGTTATCTGTATCTTAATGTCTACTGGAGAATCTAGGAGCTGGGAGGGGGCTGTAGGAAAAGCACTGGTAGAATTCGGTGAAACTTTCGCAATCGTTAGAACAGTGGAAAACTCTGTCAAAGAAGCAGAGAGCTCTGTCACACAGTCTCCCAGAATATGACGAAAAGGTGTGAACAGATGTAGGGCTTCATCTTGTCCCAAACAGAACTCTTATTTTCGTTTACTGCCTCCTAAACAATAGGAAGTGGTGACTGAACATTCCTGTGAATTGCAGTGAAGTGAGAAGATCATAAAAAACAGAAATGCCTTTTTCTGTATTGTTAACAGGAAAAGGAAGTAGAATTGATAATCTTTTGACAACAGAGAAATCTTACACTTAGATTTTTCAGATGTGCAATTTCCATGCATCTGCAACTCAGTCTAAACAGAAACACCGGTAAAGAGCGCTAAACTTCACCATCAAATCGGGAAGGTGTTATCAGGTTGATGATATCCAGAGGCTTTGTGCCTGGGGCAGCTTTGGCAGAAGAAAGGCAACTAGTTATGAATATACACACCGCAAAGAATCTGACATGTGTCCTCAACTAGAGTGAGTTACACAAAGTACAAACAGTCATAAGGATGTTCTCAGCTATTTTGACACTTTACAACTGCATATTTTATATTTTCAGTATAGTCAAGAATTGCTGATAATACCAATTTACCATATGGTAGATGAGAAAATTATTTGATAAAAAAATTAAATATTCCTTTCCCCAACTATTTCAAGAATAAATATGGCTATTTTTTTTTTTTAAAGATCTGGGTTCAAAGAGTCATTTTGAGTTGATTTCTATGCCTTAAAAATCCAGCTTTACTTTTTTTATGGACCAAATAGGTTAGAAATAATGAGCCCATATTGCAATTTATACGTCAATATTACCCCCAAAAAGAGGTCAAGTAAAATCAGGTTCTTGATTCCTGTGATAATAAATAATACCATCTTAGAAGGCAAATAAAATAGAGTAAGAATCATAACAATGGAGAAAAGAGTCAACACGTTTGAAAATTCTAACATTATAAGATTAAACTCAATCACACGACTGTCAATGCACAATTGTCATTAAAAAGTGAAAGTTAAAATTAATTCTTGGTAGAGTCACATGTGTACAGTGCCATCTTCAGGCTGCCTGGGATTGAGCTGATGATATTTTAGCTTGAATTTTTCAGGAGAGGTTCCTGCAGCTCAAAATTTGCAGCTGTTCTCCACCGTGTATAAAAGCCCTGGGCCTCTGCACACTGTGTGATTAATGGTCACTCATTTGATTAGAGCTTAACTCTAGAACATAAATTTATTTCAGCTTTCCTCTTCAACATTCTGCCAGGCACAGCTGTCATATACACAGCCAAAAGCTTTACTTTCAGAAGGAATAAATCATTATGGACTTGAAAGAAATGACTATCTGGAACCATGAAAATATAGTATATTTTGGCAAGCATACTCTAAATTTTCACTGTAGAGATCATAAGCCAAATCTCTTACCTGAGATTAAACAATACTTTCACAGCCTCTGGAGTTTGTATAAATTGTTTACATCAATGGTTACTTGTACCACAATTTTAACAGAAAAGATCTCCAGCTACTCTCTCAGAATCTAAAATTAAGTCTTCGTATGATTTCAATGTTTGTTTATATTATTACACACAAAAACCACAAGGATCTGGAAAGTTCCACAGAGAAAGGTGCCTTTCTGAGGGAAGTGCTTTTTTCAAACATTAACTCTGAACAATGGCACACTGTAGATTTAGCCTTTGAACTCAATGGCCACATGAAACTAGGTTACTCGTATTACCTCCTCTACATAAAAACTCTAGATCCTGGGACAAAGTACTCTGCTGCCAGTGGCAAGGTGAGCCCAGAGGGCTGGGGACTGTCCCCAGGCTGCATGCCTATCATGTAGGTATTCAGCAAGACAACTGGATAAAAACTGCCCAGAGCTCCCCAGGGATGGTGCAGAGCCTTTACTCCTGGTGATGAAGTCTCAATCATTTAAATGGATTCTCTTTTCAAATGTTCACAGGATGTTTGAATAAAAAATCAGATACCATTTCACATTAGTATGTTCTTAAAATTGTAAGCCCTGGCATTGGTGAAAAGTGACAAGTTTCAAGCAAATGGTTCTGTTAATCACTTCTGGGCTTTATCATGTTAAAGAGAAAATATGTTGCTAAAGTGACAACTCCTGTTTATTGCTGTGGTCTAAGCAATGGGGGTTGATTTTCTATATTATCTAAGACAAAACTATCGATAGCAGTTATTGCAGAAATATACTGCATTAGGCTTCAGGTAAGCTTTTGTTGAAGTATTTTTCCAAAATAAAAAGTACAAAAATACTTTTCACTGAAGGTACCTGAACTGATTTGACATAAAAATGAAGACACTTTTTTTTTTAGACAGTACACTTTGTGATTCACAGGATAACTTGCATCAGACGCAATTTAATGAAAGCTCTCAAATAAGCGATTTTATTCCTATCCATGATTGCAGACATTTACAAAACCATAACATCTGAGTTCACCTTAAAAAATAACTTATATAAAGCAGTGATATACACAGCACAAAATAGTTCAGGGAGGGGCGGAGCAACTTTTAATAATTAAAATGTAAACGTGAAAAAAAGGATGGAATAAAAGTCCCTACTTATTTCTACTTAAGATGTCATGTGATAATATTTTACAATGTCCTGTGGGTCAATGTATGTATGTGTATATGTCTGTATAACATACACATATACCATACATTCTCTTTCCCACACATATACATACACAGATAATTATTTGCAGTTCGGTTTAGGGCAATTCTAGTATGCCGTTCCGTACAGTTGTTTGAATCATGTTTGGACCCGCTTTCTTCACAAAATAGGGGAGAGAGCAGGAAATAAAAAGGTTGGTTTGGTGTGACTGATTCCTTTGTTTAACTGTACACTGTGATGAATAATTTTCTTCCGTAGTAGTTCTGTGAAGGGCTGACTCACTGTGGTTTTCATGAGAAGACTTGGTAATGGATCACACACTCATCGTCATGCTTGGGGAGTACTGGAAGGGAAGAAGAATCTCCTTTTAACAGCAATTATTTTATAGACTGCTAATTTTCCTGGTAAACAAAAATAGGTGCGCATTCTAATGTCTTACAGTCTTCCAAGCACAAAGTTTTAGCGTCATACAACAGAAAAGTAAACTACAAAAGTAACAATAGAATAGACTTGGTCCTGAAATTTTTGGTACTTTCCCTGGAAAGCAGCCACTTTCTTTCTGGACTTGGGTGGTGACAACTTCCCTGTCCTCAGTCTTCAAATAGCCACGTTCTTATTTTGTGGGCACTTGTAGCTGTTTGGGTAAATTCAGTCCAAACTTGAATCACAATGATGTGTGTATGAGGGGGTAATCTTTGCTACCTAGCAGCTAGGCGAATGTGACAGGTGGCCTAACTTTTCTGTACTTCTTTCTTCACCTATAAAATGGGTTTAATATCTACTTTAAAGTTGTTTTTGAGGAGGATTAACTGTAATAAACATTCATCTGATCTTAATGTGTTTTTACTGCATAAAGCATTTAGAAAATTTGAGAATCTGATTTATACTTCAGCATATAAACCTCCCCCAATGACGAGTGACTTTAATGTCAGTCCATAGTCAGTTCTCGGTATGAGTGAGGGCACTGTTAAGTTGCTTATCAGTTTCATCCAGCTGACTAAGTGATAAAAGTGAGGTTTTCAGAAACTTGGAAAAGTGGACTCAACGATTTAGCGAGGATCAAAGAGCAGTTATACCAACTATGCCAGTCTATCCTCATATTCCCTGGGAATGGATTGGGACAGAAAAATTCTAAAGCAGTACTACACAACAGAAATTTCTTCAATGAGACACACGTTCTATAATTTGTTATCCAATATGAGGTATCCAACAGCACATGTGGTTACTGAGCACAGGAAATGTGCTTGGTACAACTGAGGATTTCAAAATTAAATACTTAAATTATTTAAGTTTTAACATCCCTGTGTAACTGGTGGCCACCAGATTCAATGTCAGGGTTCCAGATCTTCTAGAATCAAATTGAAAATGGTTCCAGGTGAAGAGTTTCTAGATCAAAATGTAAAAATATGAGCCCTTAGATACTTTAAATGTCATTAAAATTCTGTGAGGACCATAGCAAATGGAATTTACTTCAACGTGCTACTAGATTGCCTCATGGAAAGACAGTGGTCCTAGGCTGTAGGGGCTTATTAAGGAACTGTGATGATCTTGGCAAGGGGAGCATAAGCTTTTGGAAAAGGAGTAGACAGAACAGCATGGAGTGAATTCCAATTGGGTGGAAGTAACATAGAGACCAGAAATCAAGTGTAAGCTGTGCTTTCAGATAAGGACTGATTGATAAACCAAGAAAGCAGGATTCCCTAGAGGAGACTGTAGGTGACAGCAGCCAGCAGGCAGATTTCTGGGCTTGAAGTTACCAGAAGTAGAACTAGGTTCAGACAAAGCCCCCACACTGTTATTGGGTAAAGGTGGAGAAATAGGCCTGGAAAGTGGGTCCGTGAATCATGTGGTGGGAACATTCACACTTTCAACACAGGTCAAATCAAGTAAAACCTACTTGTTAGTCATTTTCAACCTCAAATTTCCTTCCCGTAGAGGAAAGTCTAGTTATGTCTTAAAGGGAGTGAATAAGGTGATTAAAATGGGGAGAGGCCAGGGAAGAGAAGCAGGATTCTGTTAGACAAGAAACCCTCTTCCTCTTCACTCTTGAGAATGGGCACAAAAAGCAAAGCAAAACCAAGCCTAAAACCCAAAGCCCCAAGCAATCATAAGCAAGGACTGAGGAATGACAACACTTCAGTGAACCACCCCCAACCTGACAAAACAGGGTCCTGTTTTGGTATCTGACTTGGAATCAACAAGAAAACAGATATCAAAGTTTTATTAAAACCAGGAAAACTTAGAGACTATAGCAAAACAGACACACATATCTATGCATCTATAGTGTTATTTACAAACAGACTGATGGCTTAAGCAGTTCTGTCCAGTGGAACTTTCTTGATGATACTTCTGTGCTGTGCTGTCTGATACAACAGCCATTGTCACAAATGGCTTCTGTTTTTCTTAATGTGTATCTGGAATAACAGGGATTAAACATTCTTGAATTTTTCAGTTCATTTATGTTATGTGACTTCGGAAATGTAGTTCAAAATACAGCTATGATTATATACACAGCTGAAAGTATGCAGGCCAACACGGAGAGTATGGATGTACATGTATGTCCACATGTGCGCACACCCCTCTGTGCCTCTCCTGTTACAAAGCATGCTTGTTGGGTGCTACCGTCTGTTAGCACTGGCAATCATTAAGACAGCTCAATAGTACATGTTAAAAAACTTACATAAATCTTACAAAAAATAAACTTGATAAAAGTAGGGTATAGCAAGAGAAAAAAAGGACCAATTTCAATCTAAAAGAATGGATGCATCAGCTCCAAGAAACACAACTCGGGGAAAACTAGCAAGCGTACAAAAGAATTTTTGAACAATACAAGCAATTGCAAAATGATGCTCTGGGCATACGTGCTCCAGTCAAGCAGACTGCAGCGGCGTGTGGCTGCCACAGCAATGTACTTTTGCATTAAGACTGTCAGCTGCTCATGTGCTGTTGCCTTTTGAAACTTTTCAACTAAAATTAAGGAAAGTCACAGAATATCTAGGAAAACTGAGATGATGTGCAAGTGAGGAGTTTTGCCACTAATTAATGACTATTCCTCAAATAAGAAAAGCAGTGGCTGGCTTTGCAGGAGTAAAGGAAGAAGAGGTGTTAAATGGGGTATCAACTTAGAGACATAAAACATTCATGGCGAGCATCCCGAGAGACTCTACGGTGTTCCTGCTGTCCTGCTGCATCGATATGTGATGACATGTTGTAGTGCATGTGCCAAAATACTGCAGTATCAGGTTGCCCTCTTGCAAAACTGTTCTGCGAATTTGATTCTTCTCAATCAGGTGATAAATTGCTTTGACAACATTACTGTTGGGTAAAATCAATATAACTAACTATTTAGACATATGCCAACATGTTACTTTTTATTTAAAATGCATTTTTTTGTGGTGGCATGTCTTGGTATGAACTAGAGAATTTGCAGTTTTACCCTTCAGCATTGTGTTCCCAGACCATGAAATCAATCAGTATCTATTAAATCTCTGAACACTATGCATGAACTCCTGTCTATATACTTTAATACTGCTGTTCTCACTACATTTCTAGTTCTAAGCATCTATAGAGTTAATTTTCTTAGTGAGAACTAATGTAGCTACTTTGAGCTAAAGCAAATTTAGTATTTGTAAGGGTGTATAATAGGAGATAATTTACCACCTTCTTTCTAATCCCTATTTGATGCCATGATTTCAATATCTTAAATGCCATTAATTTTAGTATTAAAATCTGGCTATAGTTTAATACCACGGAAAAAAGTCTGCTAAATTATTTCAAGAAATAAGACTAATAGATTTTTTGAAGCATAAAAACTATTTTTTTTGAACTAAGCCTTTTTTGTATTCTGTATTTTCAAGCATCTTACAGAGATTGAACACTAGGGGGCATCTGTTTCTTGAAATAAAGGTTTAAGATTAAAAAGAAGCTGAACAGAGAAACATTTTTTGATTCACACTTTTCTGGGTAATGTGTGTTAGCATTGCAAGGTTTCTGACTCTGTACTGGGCACTTCCTGTTTCTCTGTTCAGTGACTAGGATAGTGGCTGGGACATGATAAACATCAGCAGGGGTTCACAGTGGTCTCAAACCTCCTGTTTATCAAGACAGACTGGTAAACCTTCAAAAGGCAAACTGCTCAAAATCCCAAATTTCAGAATTTTGTGCATTCAAACATTAGACTCTGCATGTTCATGTACTAGCAGATGTTTTCTTTTTGAGCTCCTCAGTTGCTGTGCTGGGACAGTAAAGCTAACGCGCTGGAAGTACCTGGTCTATTTACTTATTTCAAGCCTTCATTTGTCAGCGCTGACTGTCTTTGTCTTTTCTCATTTCTTTACCTGTATAACGGGCCTAAACGAAAACCTGTGTTGTTCCAGGGAGGCGACTGTTAGAAGGGCATCACTGAAAGCAGGGCTGACCTCCGCCCAGATCCCCAAAGAACGGAGCAGCCAGCAAGGGCTGCTTCCAGGCTGCCCTACCCTCGTGGGGGTGACTTTCCTGGCAGGGAGGAGAGAGGTAGAGTTGAGGGGACTGTAGTTTGCTTCTAACTCTGCATTTTACTTCCCACTTAGCTTAGAAGGGTACTGAGCCTGGGCCAGGAGTCGCTGGGAAGAGCCCTGCTCGGTCCTTCATCTCTCTGCTCACATTCACACAGGACCTGCTATTTTGCCTGTGCACCTCAGCTGGTGTTTATTCTGCACAAAGACGTTTTTAAAGTTCTTATATGTATCTGTTACTTTCCATCCCATGGAGAGTTTTTTAAATCGCTCAGTATTATTGAGAAACAATTAACCAATTACTGTGTAGATACAAGGTACACAGCCTGATAGTGTGGTTTATATCTGTTGTGAAATGATTACCAGACTACGTAAGCTAACCGCCATCTTCTTATAGAGACAACATTAAAAAAAAAACCAAAAAACCAAAAAACAAAAACAAAAAACTCCTTGTGATGAGGACTCTCTTGGCAATTTTCCTATCTATCATCCAGTTTGTGAGCTGCGGTCACCAAGTGGCACACTGCATCCCTAGAATTTACTTGTAACACATCTGATAACTGTACTTTGTATATTTTGACCACCTTCCTCCTTGGTCCCCCTATACACAGCTCTGTGATTCGGATTTTTGGATTTTCTTCTCTGATGAAGGAACTTTCGATGCCAACTGAGTTGGTCACCTCTTCCAAGTGTTAAGGAAGGCAGGCATCGCCTCTGCCCAACCTGTACAGGGAGGAGCGGGCACATTCCTCTTTTCCTCATTCCTAGATATAATCACCTGGAAACTTAACAGTTTTTTTTTTTCTTTTGCAATCCCACATCACCAGTTTCTTCTGTTGCTTCAGAACACCGGGCTTGTACCTGTTGTGGCACTGTCAGTTGGACATATGACTCCGTTGGGCATGCTTTCTTCTCAGGTGTATCCTCAGAGCTGAGGTGAGGTTACTCAGCTCCGAGTACTGTCCTTACCTAATGCTCTACCTCCAGCAGGCCCAATGAGTGCTGAGCTCACTGATGAGTACCACACTCTCCACTGATTTAAATCATTTTACTGTTGGGAGAACTAGCTGAAAAAGAAATGCCTCTAATGAAAAAGGGTGATGTTCACTAATTGATTAACATTAATGTGTCTGTGGCTTTGACCCAAACTATAGGAAAAACCAATCTAAAAAATAATTCCCATAATCCTAAGCATTCATGAGTTCACGTCATAGTTTCACATGTTTTCTGGTATTTCCTCTTCACCGACAGGCTGCTCTTCAGATTTCTTTCTTTATATGAATCTTCATTTGTACCCTCTTTGACCTCACGGATCATATATATGATTACAAACATGGAAATGAAAGAAACATACTGAAAGATCAGCCCGGTTGAGTTTTAGCAGAAGTCTAAAAAGCAGGTCAGTAGCAAGATGTGAAAGAAGCCTTAGCACCCTCAGGCTCGGTTATGTCTGGGGAAGGGCCCCACCCATGCTACGGGCAAGTAGCCCCTCAGTCACGTGCTGAGGGCGCCGCCTGGAGGGAGGCTGAGTTAGGGTGGAGTGAGGAAAGTTGTCTCTTCTGTCTCTGAGTAGCTGGCGGCTCTCCCATCACCATTTTAATGATGGTGATATGTGTGGAAGCGCTGATCTTAAGAAGATGAAATGAGCTTGGATTTTGAAATCCCTTATGCTATATTCCGATTCAGTAATGCTTGGCAGGGAAGGGCGTCAATGCCCTAACACCGCTTTTCTAGTCAAGAATGCTCAGCGCCAGCCCGTACAGTCTTCCTGATCCACTAGGTCTAGGGAGAATTCTGGGATACGGAATTTTAAGTAACACTTTTGGTGCTTCTACTGTGAAATATTAGTTTAAAAACAAAAACCACTGTGTTATGTAATAGCTCTTCCTGATTGGCTGTCTATAGGGCCTAGCATATTGCTCTGGTCTGTGTAAGCACCAAAGTGTTACAATAAAAAATTTTTATTTGTTCCTGTCTATTTCTATGAAGAGGTAATATTGCCTTTGCTTAATACTCTGATCATACTAACACAGGGTAAATGTCAACAACTGGTTTAACAGATCACCAATACATATTGGCTGTCAGTCTCGTGAGGTCTACTGCACCAAGGTGAGGACAGTGTGTACATCTTAGAGATAATTTTCAGAGCCTACGGATAGCACTGAGAACATATGTGGCTTTTTAGCCACCCCAGACATTTTGATATGAAAACTTGTAAAAATTATCAAACACAACCTGTTCCTAGTTGTTCTTTTAGAGTGGGTGGATATTCTCGACTAGAAAACTGGTATTAAAGTTTTTTGTTTCTATAACTGCACAGGAGTACAAAGTTTAGTCTTCAATTTCTTCAAATATTTCATATAAAGGGTTCCCCTAACTTTTAAAAGATCATCCTATTGAACTCTAGGTAGACTAAATGCATAAAGCTGCTATTTAACAGAAGAGCTTCAGAAATAAATTCTGGATATAATAAAATAGATAAGGGAATACTTACACTCTCACTCTGAAAAGGATTTAAGAAATTTCCCCCCATTTCGCCATCATCCCTTGGAGTGCCCGGTTGATTACTCAGGCTCATATTATTAGGAGAATTCTGTAAACAAGATTTAGAAAACAAGGCATTGATGAAGATTTTAATTTCCTTTTTACATTGTACTATTTCAAAAACGGAATCTATAGCAGAATCTCTTAAGGACAAAGCAGACTTATATTTTAATCTTGGGCTCCTACCATATATTCCAGTTAGTTTTTTGCACTTTGACAGGTACCAATGTGTTCCCAAAATTAAGGGAAAAAAAAAAAGTCCAAAGTAACCTGATGAGACTATTTTCTTAGTCTCAGAATCGGTATTCACTCGATTTTACCCTCAGTTCACTGAGTTCTGAGAACTCTGGAGAATTTAAAAACCTTTCCAGGCAGGGGCATGATGAAGACTCTTCACTGGCAAGGCACGGTGGGCCAACTGTCCCCTGGTAATTGCATTCATCAAAGTTCAATAGTCACCATTCGAGTAAACAGTTCCCTTTAATTCTATACTTACAGAGTAACACTATTTTAAGTTTTTTTTCCCCCTTTCATTTGGAACGTAAGGAATAAAGGAAGACAGTAAACTATAGTTAAAATCAAGAGTAATACCTCAGGGCAGGGATTCGGATATATTTTTAGTTGAAAAAAAGGCTTGACAGTAAACTGCTTTAGAACCTTTTCTTACAGCAGTAGCTCAAGGTAAACTTGAAACAATCCTTTCAGATGAAATTGTGTTAGTGATCTAATCAAATTTGTTAGTCACACCTTGCTGCATGTTCTAGTTAAATGTGCTAGTTTCCTTATGATTGACTTTCAGCTGTGCAAGTTCATCTGATGCTCCACACCAGTGGGAAATACACAATGACATTGGTGTGTAAGGTGTGTACACAGAACTGCATCTGTGATGTGAGAGATTTTCAGAGATCAATTTATTGACTTACCAAAAATAAATTTCAAGGTTAATTTTCTTTATTTCAAATGAAAGACTTTAGATATTTTCCCTAAGTATTTCCATTTTATTTTTCAATGAGTTTTGAAGGTTTCTTAAAGAAAATTGCTCTAAGGCTTTTTACTTAACTAAAAGCAAGTTGTGTCATAAAATTAAAATTTCATGAATGAATCATTTCCAGAAGAATGTACGCATTTTTAGAATATGGCTAAGCTGTAAAGCAGGTAGATGAGCCGGTGAAAATACAGCTCGTGTCTGGTCCTGCTGTGCACCCCACAGGCAGGATCTTTGAACAAGGATCTTCTGAAGTCCACAGGAACACGATTTGCCAACGAAGCCCAAGGGCTGGAGAACCATAGTTTAATAGCATCAAGAAGATGCTATTTTTTGATAAAACTTTTCTCTGAAAATGTTTCCCAAGCATACAGAAATGCAAATATACTCTGAAATGAATAGCGATGACATTATTTCTGGGGGAAAAAAATTTAAGTATTTAAAGTATATTGTTTTATGGCTCGTTGACTTAAAAGTTCTTAATCAACTGTTCTAAAAACTAGAATGATAAATAATGCTGACTTAGTGCAAAAGGAAAACTAAATTTATAAAAAATATTGTCAGATTTACCCAAAATCTGTAAGTCCTTTCAGTGGTGGCAGATTTTTGTCCTTTTGCACATAGAGGAAAATCTTGGAAATGAATCATCGAACATAAGATAGGTGTGTATGTATGTGAAGATGCGATTGCAAATCGCATGCTTTCACTTTTTAAATAAATGAAATGAGTCCTTATCATTTTTGTGGAACAGTCACATTGCCAGAGGTAAACCTGCCCTGGGAGGAACAGCTTATCTTTCCTTTGTGGAGGGTCGGTCTCTGCTGCATTTATGCTGAGTAACAGTTCTTGATTTATAATCCTGACAGTGTTGCTAATTTCAAATATGATTTGATTCAGTGTTGATTTTTAAAATACTCAAAATGTGAAAGTAGCACTTACGTTCCCCCTGTGATGCCCGTAGCATGGATGCCTCAGCGTTATGCATTTATTTTAGGGTGGGGGGTTTAGGGACTTTGAGAGGAAGATTAAGCACTACACTTAAGCATGTGCAACCTAGTTAATACCAGATTTCTTAAGCTGTTTCTGTCCAGTTTCCTCATTGGGAATCTTGAAACTATAGGACAAATGTTATAAAAACAATGGAAATTTTTCATTGGAAGTTTCAGAGAAATTGTGTTGTCCACAATTGACATGATGAACATGTGGACTAAAGATACACTTCAAGCTGGCATCTGGGGCACAGCCAGGGCAGTGGTTTCCGACACAGCCCCAAGCAGGGTAGGAGGGTGGCGATGAAGAATGTAGATGTTACATTTAACTGCAGTTGTGTGTGCAAGGCGAGAATGCATGGCATAACTTAGACTGGGTTAAAAGGCACTCCAACTGCTGAGCACTAACTGAGGACAGGGAGTGTTAAAGGACGCAAGATTACTTTTAGCAACATCACGTACCTGGTTGCATTTCTTATTGCACAGTTAAGGTTTAATATTCACCACGTGTATTCTTAGAATTTACCTTGAAAAAGTACCATGAGGATTATGCTGATCCCATCTTCAAGAAATTTTATTACATTCTCATTCATTCTCCCATCAAAAGGGAGTGTTTTACTCTATGATGTCCTATATGAACATCACAAACACAATTTTTTCTGCCTAACACATTTAATTCTCTTAGTCTCCTGATTTTATCTTGCAAGTATTATTCCATATCACCTGTTGATTAGTAAATTATTGTCCCTTTTCCCACCTAGCCTCAGAAATTGTTTCACACCTCTTAGCTACTAAGAAAAGAATGAACATATGTAGAAATTTTGGTTCTGTCTGTAACTAGAATGAAGTGATATTTACATTATTTGAAGTCCTTTGGGAAGTGGATTTTGATTTTTTTTTTCTCCTCCTCACAGACAGCTAATACCAAGCTTTATTAAGTGCTATTTTGAGTCTGCTGGCCCCTCAAAAGAACAAGCTGCCAGTTGTGGTTCTCCCAGGGGTACAACTGAGCCGGGACTTGGGCCACACTCCTGAGATGATAGTGAGAGCTAGAATTGTCGATTCACTCCCCTGTGAATGGTGTGGGATCTTTAAGTGGAACTACAGTTCTTGAGGTCAGAAAGCTTCAGCTGCAAAGACTCTTTGATAATTTATTAAACATAGATCAGATCCTTACTTTTTTTTTTTTTTTAAGCTCCAAAATGGAGAAAACATTGTAGTGTGAACTGCAGGATTTATTTGTCTTCCTTCTAAGAAAACCAATTATGTTTACTCTCTACCCCTAAAACTTACTCAACCCCTAAAACAACATCAAGGGAAAATATTTTTATTTGATTAAGTGGGTGACTTCTCAATGACAAGAAGATGAAAAAAAGTCACACCTCATTTTAAAAATGACTTCTAAACTAAAGGTGCATTCGAGAGGTATGTGTAGGAGTTCTACTAAGTAGTCCCCAACTGTGCAAGAAATAATTTAGTCTTCATTTGGAGCTTTTAATGCACTTGCCACAGTAGCCGTGCTAAGGTGGACAGCTGATAGCGAGTTCCTACCCGAGTCCACAGAAGAGAATACAGCTAACGAGAGGGGTCTGTGCTGACCTCTATTGGTCTTATCAGATGAAAATCACTTGATTTTCAACAATTTTATGAAATAGATAAGAAATGAACTGCAAGCTCCATATAGCTAACAGAATGAAGCCTTAGAGAAATTAATACTTTGTACACAACTTGCTAGAAGAACAGGATTGCTTTTCAATTCAATACTATTTTTTTTTTAATTTACCTTACATGGAAACATACTCAATTTTATCCACTTTATAATAAAGTGGAAAAAGAACTGCAATAGTACTAATAAACAATGCATGCAATAGAGTAGTAAGATAAAATATGTCATGCTGGTATTTCTAGTGGGAGAACTAGGAAGATGTAACAGGAGATTTGTAGAGGGATGAGCATAATGAATAGAAGAAAATAGGTGGAAAGAAACGAATCCAGGAGACTAGAAAAGGGAGGAGTTTCTTGAGATTGTTGCCCCTGTGCTGGAAAAGAGGTGAGGTAGGAAACAGTTCGTGAACATGTGCTACCTTGGAGTAATCTAATGACATAACTAGTCTGGCACGGGAAGAGTTAGGTGGCAACTAGTCACTTCTAATACATCACAGAGTGGTGTTTGGAGATAATTCTTATGTTAATTTCAACATATTTGAACTTTGCTTAGTAAACATTTTTCCTTATTTGTATTTGTTCTCCTCAGTTATATGGAGCTGCTTGAAGGGAGAGACCGTATCTTGTTTATCCTTGGGTTTTCTGGGCCCCGCAGAAAGCCTTGGTGCATTTGTTCACTGAATAGAGGAACTCCTGCCCAAGTATAAACCACTTAAGGACAGAGATTATGTTTTAAAGAAGTGTTCTTTAATCTCCTCATCATGTACAATGCGATATTCAGTGCACAAAAGTACACAATGGGTGGCCAATTAATGCTCAGAGAATAAGCATGAGGTAAGAGAATGTTATCAGCAATAGTCAGTGTTGTGGAAAAACATGTCTTTGGTAATAGAAAAGGGAAAGGAAGCATAGAAGAAATATCAATAGGTCTGATATGAGGTCAGATTAGAAGATGGTCTTTAACTTGTCATTATGGTTCTATTTAAAAATTTTTAAAATGCTCAATCAATTACCATGTAATTTCTCATAGAACTTCTACACTGATCAAATTACAAGGTTGCTGGTGGGAATTTTAGGAAGTGGCTTATACCATCTGCATGATCCAACTATAATAACTATTTTTAGATACTAGAATATGCTTCTTTCATGTAACATTAGACATTTTACTAGTGACCACAAAGCACAATTCAGCCAACATCAGTTGTTGGATAGTCAAGGTAGCCAACACAATCACAGCCAGTTGACTTAGGGGCCTCAGGGAGAAGTTACTAAAGGACTTGCATAGTGAGTCTTATTTTGAAAATAGGATTTTTTTTTTAAGGTTTACATAATACTGTTTTATTTTTTATTTTATTTTTTGCAGAGGTGAGCTAGAACATGTAGAACTGTCAAGGCCACACAGTCAGACAATAAAGATAGAGTGTTAGGGTGCTAATTAAACTTCTTTTTTTGGTCTCATGTCTTAATTTTAAAGGTTGTGTAGCTCAGTCTTTGGCAAGAGGCATTTTTCATTATTATACCGGAATGTAAAATATAAGTAGAGTGAAAGTTGAAGTTATCCTTTACTGAATTTCTGTATTTGTTGATGTAAAGCATACATATTTTAGTAGCAGTTAAGAATTAGGTCTTAATAGTCACTTAACTATACTTTTGACTCATAACTATATGAAATTTGTCATGACCGAAAAATATTTAGTATTCATTTTCAAAAAAATGTTAAGGCCTCTTAGAGCAAATGATTAATTTTCAATATTCAAACTACTGGAGGAGAAAAATAGATACATACTACTGGAAGACTTATTTTCCTACTTGGACTCACATTTTTCTGTAATATTTTCTTACTCTAGTTTAAGGAATGATCAATATAATTGAGATTATCAACATTACCACATGAAACTTCAAAAGATGAATGTATAAATGCAATGCCTTTATAACTTGTAATCACTTCTTTAAATTTACATATATTGCTCTAGACTTTTTACATCTTCAAATGATTAAGCTGTTTTACAAAACACGTAGCATCAGATGATTAACATAGTTATTACTTGAGTATCAGTCATGTATAGCATATTCTATAAATGAATCTCAGCATGTTTATAAATATGCTTAAGAGTCTTTCAACAGGTCATATACATTAATGTTTTTACCTTCTAGTTATCTCTGGCTACCTACTTTCAAATACTTAAACAAAACTCTAAGGATACTTTAGTAATCCTAATGAATGTTCCACGGAAAACACTATACTCACCTTGGAAATACTGTCCATATCTCCTGAGCCTGAAACAAATTATGAAAAGAAAACCTTTATTAGGTAATGAATTTCCTTTATAAATTAAGTATTCCTTTATTGTAAATAATTGCTGTGCACAGTATGTTTCCAGTATAGATCAGCTGAATTTTTTCATCTTATAAATACCCTTTTCTATTGCATAGTAAGTATTGTTGATGGCAAATAATGGCAGTTATTCCTCCAGTTCCCAATTACCTACATTTTGTAAAGGCAGAGTTTTCAAGCATCTATCATAAATTCCTAATAGTGAAATATTAGAGAGCTCATTTATATAACTAAGTTCAAAATTTTAGAATGTATGCATATGTACATTATATAATTTATCAAATACAATAGTGAGAGATCATATAAAGTTTTTCTGAAATGATGCTTCTAAATTTGATAAAATATGAAATGAACACTTGCAACAATACCTGAGCCAAATTTACTATATTTGTCAAACCAAATAAAAATCCATTAATAAAAATTTTAAAAAGTAACAAATTTACAAAGAGTTTAAACACAATATTGTAGTTGTACTTTGATTCTTAGGAAATTCCTTAAGGAATCACACATAAAGAAGAATAATCAAATCTTTGTCATGTTAGCTTATTTTTAACTATTTTAACAATTATCCTGGTATAAAATTATTGTAATTTAATAGGATTACATTCAGTTCAGTCACAAGTCAATAAATTCTAAAGTTTATAAATAGGTATAATAAATTTTAAATACTGAATACATGTAATTACATGTATATATAAATACATACAATGTTCATTATAGAAAATATAAATTATATCCAATTAAGCCATATGCTCAGCATACGTGAAGCTCTTCTGCCGATTCTATTCTAGTGAATAACTGAGAAGCTTCTTTGACCAAATGACATCTTTGTGAATGTTTTGTGAAAATATTGGAAGTAGATTTTCGCAACAAGCTAGAAGGTAACATTCCATGATGGTAGTATCCACAGAATTTTGTGTGATGATAGAAATGTTTGTGTGTCCATTATGGTGACCACTAGCTACACATGGCCCTGTGCACTAGTTGATGTGTGGCAGTGAAAATGGTTAGAACTTGAAATTCTATTTAAAGTTAAATATTCACACTTAGTTATTGGCCACCATAGCTGGGCAATACAAATGAAGACTTTAAAATGCTGGGAAAATAAGGATGGGTCCTTAAAAGCACAAAAATCTATCAAAACGTTGCCAATAACCTCATGATTATTGACGTTACATAGTCTTTCAAAGCGTTGAAGGGTAACATTTCTTGACCTTGGGTGGGGTTGTGACTGTGTAATTTAAATCACTCATGGATATAATTTATCCAATTGAAGTAAAAGTCCCTGTTCAAAAGGAGAAAAATATCATAAATCTCTATCTACTTTGTCAACTTAGTTTATCATTGTTAATAATTATCTGAATATAAAGTAAATGTTTTTTATGGTTTTGCCTTCAGCCTGCACACACATATGTACACATACACACTCGTGTATGTGCTGTGTGACCTACTCAATTTTGTAGCACTTGTTTATTTCTCACTATTGTGAAAGATTTTGTTCACCTTGCAGATAATTGTTTTCATTGGTAAGAAGAAATTTCAACCACTAGTCAAGAGAAATAAATACACTTGAAATTAGGTTATCCTGAATACATCTTGGGGCAGTATTCTCTCAAGAGTCATTCAGAGTATTTGGAATATGATAACTAATTTTAAACCACAACATTTTTGCAAATAACTGAAGTTTCTCTGAGACTGTCTGTGACTCTTTGGAGAATAAGCATCCAACTGGAGGACCCTGCCATCCTGCAGGTGAGGGTACATGTTACACATGCCCAAAAGCAAGTTTTTCTGCTTAACATAAAAGACATGTTTTGAATAATGAGATTAAATACCTGTGAATATGAGTTAGGGTAGAGCAATTATCACACTTCTGATTTTTAAGTGATTACATCATTACAATAAACCTGTCAATTAAACTATAAATTTGATGTAAAAGTTGGAGCATTTCAGAACGAGTTGTAATGGAAGAATGCTGAGAACATTGCAAACAGCAGTACCCACTTGAATAGAGTTAAGGTTTTGTCTGTCTTACTAGTAAACATCAAACTTCACATCCTTACCTAAAGAGCCATTCATGTGATGTGACTCCATGCCTCCTAATCCACCCATAGGACCGTCTGACCCAGGGCCCATTGGAAACTATTTAAAAGATGAAGAAAACGACTATGATCACATTGAAAACAATTGTCTAGGTCAAAGTTACATCTGTGTTTGATATTGTAAGACACTTCCACAACTTTTTATTTTCACGTTATGGGGATTACATTTTCCTAGATTTTTTTTTCATCCTTCAAGATCCTCTATTGCCCTGTTTCCTCGATCCCATCAGTTATAAGTGCTGCATCTTCAGATGCTGTCACTTACATCCAAATTTTCTTCTAACATCCTCAACTAGAAAGCATATCCCAATACAAATGGGAAGACAGCATTCTCTTCTATGCTCTTGACAAATCTTGCTATTATAAAATCAGAGGCAATTGTTAAGCTTATTAATAAGAATAATTGAATATTAACTTTTCTTAGCAATCTACTTTTGTCCAGATGGATATAGTAAATAATTTGATTTTATAGGTAGAATACACCTAGCTCCTGGGGATAGCTAAGTATAGCTAAACTCTTAGCTGAATAGTATCAGTTCAATGACAGCAGACATTCAATAGCAGTTATAGTAACATTTTCAAAGTAGTGGCATTTTATTTTTCAAGTGAAATTTTATATTGGAAGCCTTACATATAAAAGACATGAGTGGATAGGTCATGACAGGCCTGCTGCTAGGGTCACTGAACATCTATTCGTTACTTCCCCCTTATTTTCTAGAAATCTGGACCCCAGTTTGAACACAAATTATTTATAATTGCGCTTATAGTTAAGACAGCCTACTGAAAACACTTGCTCTTAAAATTTCCTATGTTTACAGCATTCCTTCCATGTTGGATGTGGTATGAGTGAATACATGTGGATCTGTGTGGCGGTGGGGTAGTAGTGGTGGTTATTAATCACACTTCTGGTGGGAGGACTGTCCTCAGCAGACAGCCTGCCTAGCAGCAGCGACGTGTGGAATGCAGCTGTCTTTCCATCACCAGGAGCACACAGACTACATGCTTATCAATGCTCTCAGGATAAAGCCGATATTGTTGAAGATTTTGTTGCTCGAGAACAGATTGATTTTTCAGTAAACAACTTGTAATATGTATGCTTCAAATGATAGGCCTAAGAAATTAACTTTGAATTTAATTGTTACTTAGCTTCGGTGAACACCATAGTTTAGATCTGGCCTGAGAGGCTGGTGCTGATTAGGTGAATAGCCTTGAACTTCTTGGCCCTAATACCTGCCCCTGCCAACCCTTGTACCCCACCTTGCCATAGTATTTTTAAATGACACTAAGCTACAGGTTTCTGTGTTTAATGGACATAAAACTGCAGTCCCAGCTCTTAGTAGGTGTTTACTTTTACTACCTCAGGCTGAGATAACAGCATTTGGAAAAGTGACATGTTCATCTACTTTTCTTGGATCTCTTATCTCTGTATCAAATTAGAGAACCAGAATGGAACATACTTGGAAGATAACTAAGCTGCCTACAGAAATGTCTTCAGTACCATATGCTCTTGGTTTCTTCCCTATTCCCTTCTTTTAAATATCAAGTTTTAAGAAATAAAATTGTAATAGGATGGGCTTTTCTATATCTTTGCTACATTGTACATTATTCAACGATCTTTTAAGAGCTCCATGAAAACACTTTTTAGACACTGCTCATAGGAAATTTTTATTCCTGAAAACAATTTGATTCTTTAGAGAAATCTGTGGTAATTGAAGGCAGGGCTGCTTAACAGAACTAATATGCATGCACAAATGTGAACTAATAAGAAACTTTAGGTTTACCAGTAGTCATGTTTTAAAACAACAAAAAGCAAGAGAAGTTATTTACCTTATTTATTTACCTTAAATATCAACTGTTATTCAACATATAGCCAATATAAAATTTTTAACGATATTTCACATTTTTATACTAAATTCTCAAATGCCAACATTTTATGCTTAAAGCACATTTCATTTTAGAGTAGCCATAATTCAAATAACATATTGGGCAGAATTTAAAGTTTCTCTGCTTTCACCAACAGGATGTTCAATTGTAATAATTATTTCATTTCTGGCTTTCAGTACACTTACAAAGTTATTTTTATGTCTTCTGATTTCTCTTTGATTTGAGCTACTGTATATCCCTAATCTATTATACTATTACAAGTTTTAAATGTAGATTTTATATCATAAATGTTGCTCCTGTCCATAGAAAAATCATGAACATATACTTTATTAAGGACATTCACAGTATTTCTGTTGCACTGCGTCATGGCTCCATGTATTTCAAGTAAACTCCAGATTTCAAAAATCTAAGGAAAAGCATAATCAACTTCCTAGTTCATTTTCAAGATTATAAAGTCTATGACCACAGTGAGGAAGCTCATTGTGAGCTTTACATAAATGACTGCACATTCCCAGTAATTCTCAAATAACCAGTATAGATTAAGAGCACTATCGAATATTTGGTAAGTGATCAGGTCCAGTTTCAGCTTAACATTTATGTTACAGAGCTGTGAGATTTCTTGTGATGTTTTGTATCATATTTTTCAACCTAGAATGCAAAATGTGTTTTTGATATCTGTTAAGCTCATGGATAATAAATATACACTTCAGCAGTAGCCAGGAAATGAAAGACACTTTGGTGTTTTTTTTTTCCCCCCAGTATATTTGAAGACAAACTAACAAAAAAATGTATATTTACATTAGGCCTGTTAGGTCCAGGAGGTACTGCATTCATTAAAGTATACATGTTGTCTCCAGAGTTGGTTGAATCTGAAATAAAATATTAATTAAAATCTTTCTTTGTAATCTTCATGCAAGTCATCAGAGCTATAATTAAAGATTATCTAGACAATATGAATAGTTGCAATGCTTGAAGTAGGCATTACTGATGTCCACGAACACATATATGTAAGTCATTTTCTGACCCAGAAATATTTATTCTGGGGTTGTGTATTAGGAATTTGCTCAATCACTTGAAGGACATTACTTTAAAAAAAATCTAAGAAAACCATATAGTAAAGTGTGAGTATTTTCTTTTGAAAAACAAGATACCATTTAAAAAAATGAACTCTAAGCAATATATATGTATACAGATAGCAAAAATTCTTAAAATTCAGATTTGGTCACTTTTCAGTTGTCATTTCCATAGATTTCTTACACACCAATTTAATACAAAATGTATTTAGGGAATAATTAGTAAAAGCTGATAGATCTGGTTTAATTCCAAAGGAAGGGATTAAATCAATACTATACAATTAGAATGAAAGCGACCTAGCTTGAAGTAAAAGGTAGTTTCCTCTACTTTATCACTGGATAAAAATTTTACATTCATTATATTCTTGAATCATTATAACAATAATTGATATCCATTTAATATTATTTAAAATGTTACATTTCATGTCTATTAGTCAAGTGCTAATTAAATATCTGAATATATATGATCTTATATAAACTAGAATGAAAAGCTAAATGTTAATATTTAGAAAATATTAGTTAAAATATTTTCTATTAGAAGTATTTAGTTTTCTCAAATGTAACAGGTCTATTTTGAAAAAGGTATGTTCCAGATGTTCAGTTTTGATTCAAGGTAGAAAATAAAGAGACTTATTTTCTCATGGCAATAATCACATAGGGGGAAAAGGGCAATTATTTTCATTTTGTGTGTGTGTATTTACTTACTAGATATTAGTTTATTGTAGTGTATATCACATACAGCACAGGTTAGCACAGTACTTAATAGTATTGTGTAAACCATGATTTATTTTTTTTACTTCTTAATACAGCACACTACAAAAAGTTAAAATGCCTATCTCATATTGATCCTTATTTGTTTATATTAAATATGGTTCTCATTAACTTTTATAGCCTTAACTGTTTTTATATCCAGATGTTTGATTAACTCTGAGCAACCAAAGTACAGCAGGCTACTGTTCTTTCCTGCATGTGATTAAACTTTTCCATCTTCATGGCGACCATAACTTCTTCCATGAATATATTTTTCTTATACTTCCAAGTGTCTGTGGGCTCCTGCGCCCCCCGCCCCTCCACCACTGAACTCTACTTTGCATTTTTTCTCTTGCTCCCAACTAGGCTACAGTAAGTTCACTGACAGAAGGAAAGGAAGGGACCACATCTTAATCATGTATACTGCAACAGTATCAGCTAATTCAGATTTAACTAACGGAATAAACTCTATCCCATTAAGTTCCTTTTTAGGAAATCTTGGATTGCTTTTTAAACACAGAAACTTCAATTTTTTTCACCATATCAATCTTACTAATTTTAGTAATTAATTTTAAAGGAAAGTGGGCTGTATATTTTAAATAAGCAGGAGAAAATATTTACCTTTTTTTAAAAAACTAATAAACAATGTTGTATGAAAAAAGGAAAAATACTGAGGGAATAAAGCTGGCATTTCCTAGGGGATAGGTCCTTTTATATATACAGAAAAACTTCATGTGATCTTCTGGCAACTATTTTGTGTGTGTGTTCACGTGCGTGTGTAATGGCTTTATGCTTCAGAGTAGAAGCATGGTTGCTACATAAAACGAGTACATAAAAAAGCATGTGCAGAAGGCTAAGAAGTATACTGGTGGAAACTTCTGACTTGAAAGGAAGTAGTGGTCAGATTACTTCTTATTAGCAAAGTTTAGCATCACTCCCCCAGTGTTTTTTTGTTACTGTAGTGAAATGTCTATTAATTACATGCTGCCTTTATAAATTAAACATTAACTTTTTTTCCATACAAGAATGCAAATGTATGCAAGATGTTCAATTCACATAATTCTATCTTTAGTGAGTTTTGTTTCACTTTCATTGAAGATGCTCTGAGGACAGACCTATGGAATATTTATGAATATATTGCAAAGCTTTTGTGAAGCAAATAAAATTTTGTAATATCAAATTTACACTTTCTATATTAAAGATTCAAAACATTTGTTGATCAACAAGATTTAATTTCAAGCTTGCACATATCTTAGATTTCAACAAATATCTTAGATTTCAACAAACTGAGTTAAATGTGCAAAATAATTTCTAAGTATGAAACGTCTCTGTATTTCATTACTCAGTAACACTTTATCACTGAGAAAAATTTAGACTATTTCTCCATGTTCTGCTTTACAGATTTCTATGTAATATATAATTTAAAATGAAATTATGGCCATACTGTATTGAACTATGGACATTTCTCCATGTCATTAGAAATTCTTTGATAGTGACTTTAATGGTTACAGTGTATTCCATCATGATCTATAAAATATTAATTTCACTTACATTGGATTAGGTATGAAGGTTGTGTCTACTATTTCATCACTGACTATAACAGATGAGCTGCCTTCTCTACATCTCTTAGGCTGTATCTCTAATCAGTTCTAGTAGTACAGTGCTAGTCAGAGGGTCTGACTGCTTTTAGGACTCTTGATACATGGAACAGCCCAGCCTAGGAGGCCTGTGTTAAACTGCCAGCATTATAGTCTTCTTTATAACACTTTTAATATTAAGTCTGGAATAAAGTCTCAATAAGTAGGATAAAGCTATTTAAATTTTTTTAATCAAATAATTATAGAAGCATTTCAATTTAGGGGATTAAACGAAAACTGTCCCCACTACATAAGGATTTATTAGTTAATAAATACTTGTGGACGTGTGGGATAAAGAATGCCATAAGCCTATATGCATCTGCATTAGGAAGATGACAGAGATGGTGGATTGGATTTGCTATATTTAACCTAACGAGTCCATGTATTTCATATTACTTCTACGGAATCTAAGTAGTGAGAGTTAGTCTCAAGTCTCTTTTCCTTAGTCTCAAGGAATCTTTTAATTAAATCAGTTTTCTTGCTCATTAAATCTCTTAGCCAATCAACAAATTTTCTACATGCTTAAAGTAACGATCCACTAGATGTTTAAGCTACTGTTTCTTCCTACTTGTTACCTCTGTTCTGCTTTTAAGTATCTCATCAATGTGATAATGAATATTTCTGTCACAACAGTTTCATATTTTGTGATTTTTATTCTACTAATGTTCTTGTGGCTTAAATTGATTACAATACCTGCTGGACTAGGCATGATGGGTGTTCCTGGTGGCCCTCCACCTCCTGGAGGACCCTAAACAATTACACAAAATTTCAGTAAAAAATGGCATTTCATTAAACATGATGGAAAATAGAAGAAATGTTAGACTTATCTCTATGATAACCCAGTTGAAAATAACATTTAACATATTTTCTCTGTACTTTGAGTACACAATCATTTCAGGATTATGCAAAATACAATTTACCTTAAATAAGTTGAAATTTTTGGGGTAGTTTTCAAAACAATGAGCCCATACTGACTTGTTATTTATGACTTAATCGCATCAGGTATATAATGCGGTTAAGGACAAACCACTTAATGGGGCCTTTGCAAATACCCATGTGTATTTGTGATTGAGTTTAATTTCTCTATGATCTATTATAGCACTGTAGTTATAGTAAACTAAAAACAAGATAGTCATATGTTAAAAAGACATTGATGCTATTCTGTCAATACTGACTGCAACACTTCTGGAGCGTTGCACCTTCAGCTATCACATCAATTGAAAGGAGAAATGACGACTAATGCTGTTGGTTATTAAGCTGCAGCTATATAATCACTAAAAGGTAGATCAGGTAATTTTAAGTTAATGTAGTTATTCGGACAACCAAAATTTAAAATTCAGGCAAAAGGTCTTAGAACTTTTCAGATGCACCATAACCACCCTTTTGCTTTGTTCTGTGTACAAAGATACAATACATTAATAATTTCAACTAATGTATGTATTTTAATTTGAATTTTAAAACAACTTGAATTTCCTTTTAATCAAAGTCAATCATATCATAAAGCCATACATCAGGTTTATTTTTTTATAGACTTATTTATATATACAAGAATTGGGGTACAGTCCACAGGTAAGGGGGTGAGAGGATTCACCAGTGACAGAGTGGGGACCAGAACAGATAGATTGACCAAAACACTGCTGAGGTGAGGTGTGGTTGAGACAGGAGAGGTTTGCTGTGCCAGATGGGTCGCCTCACTGACTGGGGATTGAACTCATGCTGCCGTGACTGCTGATAGCTTCATAGTCCTGTGCTTTACCCCCTTGTGCCACCAAGGAGGCCTTTATAACTAAGGTTCATTCTTAAGTGACTTTAATAAAAAAAATGGATATTGCCCCAATTTTCTAATTTTCCTTTCTTTCATAGAAAATGTGAAATAAGTTACATTCTTACTTTGTATACGCTTAAGGGAACATTGAGCACTAAGTTCCCAAGTCCACAAGAATATAGGCTTTTTCACTGTGCTCACAAATCACTTTCAATGGAGGGGAAAATGCTCACTGAGCCTCCAAGCATTCCTTTCCTGCCATTCAAATTACCTACCACCTCAGAAAATTTCTGTAAGGAAGGATATTCATCATTACAATTTTGTCTTTGCTTCTCTGTCAAGCATTTCCCCTTAAATATTCTAAAATTTACCCTTAGTAAATTTAAGTTTCTAAATGAAATAAAAAAAAAAAACTTAACATGTACTAAGAAAACAAACTTAGGCACTCCAAATTAATGGCCATCATTTGGCTACCTGATTCTTTTTGTGTTTGAGAGAAAGTTTGAAGTCTTCCTTAGACTTTGTGCATCATTAGTAGGGTGGCAGAGGGGTTTAGATTATCTTCCTGGAGAATTGCAAATTCAAGCATATTATTGTGTAACTGGGGATGGCTTTCTTCATGATTGGACAGAGTGTATTGTACTGGTTTACAGAGACATATGCTGAAGTAAAACACAGTACTCAGGGCAATTTGGCCAGATTGATAACTGTTTCACTAATGAACATCAACATATGTACTGAGGTTGGCAGATGAAACAACTCAATACAAATCAGATGTTCACTTCTTGGCCAATACACAGGGGCTCTTCTTAACATCTGGACAACTATTTCATTGCCCAAATAAAATGTAACATCAATTCTTATGAGCAAACAAACCCAAATGTACTTACTACATAATTCCCAGGAGATGCTGAGGAATATGGTATCTGGAACATGAACAGGACAAAAAATACATATTTAGATTGACATAAAATACCTCTATATTCTTACTTTCATCAACTTTTAAAATGTATTACAAAGGATGGTAAGGGATTATGGCATTTATATCTACCTGAGGGCCAGAAAACAGAAAAAATGTCAGGTTACCTTGAATTTACCAAAAAAGAGTGAATTTTAGTCAAGAGGAATTTAGCTAGAATTAGTTTCAAGTTCAACTTATTTCTGGGCAGTTTATTCATGGCTTGATACTGACTTATAATGTGATTAGGAAGATGTACATTAGTGCAGCTAAAAATCAGGAACCAGAAACCAGAAATTTTCAATGAGTAGGCTTCAACTTCTAACTTTTGTGCATTCCGGGATGCACTGCTTTTCAGGTATGTTTCAGGCTGCTATATTCATGCAATATGGCTTCATACTTTCCCTCTTTCTTACTTGCTATGGTAAGTTTAAAAATTTTGTTAACATCTACAAAAACTACTAATTTATGGGAGTCAGATGTGGATAACAAGTTACTTCTTTCCTTTCTAATCGAGCTCTTAACCAAGTTCTTTTCTTGATTATTAGAAAGTATTGATATAACACTCCTATAATTTAGGAAATGAAAACTGGGAAACACATAGTTAAAAATAAGCTGTTGAATCTGAATAGCAATAGAAAAAGTTAAGTCCAAATACTCTTTTTCACATAAGCAAACTTGAATGAAAACTGTGCACATTTGGAAGAGATATTTTTGCCCTCCTCTGAAAAAAGGCAACAAATTACTGTCTTCTTGGAGTCAGACAGGGGCAGAATAGAATCTTCAAGCAGTGAAGTTATAGCGCCTGGACCCCAAATGCTCTTCTACTTTAACATCTTCCATATATGAAGCATAAAAATAATATGAAACCCCAAAAAAGCAGAATGAAATGAAAAATAAGCAGAATGATTTTAATAAATTATTGAAAGCTCCCTCTTTGTTGGATGTTGTTAGTTTGTCTTAAGCTCAGACCACATGTGTCTGAAGATGCTGCTTGACTTGCCTATGCTGCACTCATGAGGCCATCACCAAAGTGCCAGGTAACACTCTGGAGTACCTGGGATTCTTAGGGCAGTAAACCTTTACTCCACTTGATCAGTAAAAACTCCTTTGCTCTCTTGGGGTTCTTTCCATTCATGATCTATAATCTCCCCTCTGCTGCTTATTTTGAATGTGAATCTACTTTCACCGTCTCACCAACTCCTCTATTGTCTACAATTTTCATCTCCCCATATCCCTAGCGCTTCCTCTAGTTATGCCCAGTCTCTATTTTCCACCTTCATTCTTATGCATCTTCATGCTACAATCTGTCCATCTTTTAGATACTTAGCGCATTTCTACTTCATTGTCTTCTTTGACATATACTTCTTGTCTTCCATTTATTAGAATGACTATGGCTTAGAACTCTAAACTCTTGCCTGATATTCTTTATTCCTCATGTAACTCATGAAAACTGTTGTACATTCTAGACAGAATCTTTCCCATCACAATTCCTCCATGTTTTTTAAGTAAATTATTTTCCTACTATATTGCCTGTCACTTCCTCATGTCAGTCATCATTTCTTTCTAGTGTCTTAAATTTATTATACTAAAGCCTATTTAGTTACTTTGCATCTTTGTCTACTCTCTAGCCACCATTTCTGCTAGAAGCAAAATACTGAGGTTGAAAAGGTCCAAAATATAATAATGTCTCCAAATTTAACCCAGTCTCACTAATATATGGAAGTATTTCTGGCTCAGCCAAAGTGTGGAGGAGAAGAAAAGCAACAACTTGAAGCATTTTGCAATTTCTGTGTAATAAACATTCCAAAAGATGTATTTGAAGTTATCCATTACTTAATTGGCTCCTAAAAAACCCTGGATATTTAAGTTGGCCTTCAAGATGACTATTCCGAGTTGTACTTTGCCCTTTTGTCGTTAGTGTTCATATTCTTGCTAGCCCTTGTTTCAGCTCAGAACTCCATTATTTGTGGGTTTCATCTTTCATCCACTGACCTCAGATTAAAAATAATCTCCTTTGTTTCGAAAGCTAGCCCTTCCTGACCATTTCATTCTTCCAGCCTTACTCCTTTATATTTTAATTTCTTCCTTCCTCTTCACAGCTTCTTCAATCACAGTAAAATATAATAAGCATTTTTAAATAGTCAAAAAAATTGTTACTTCATATAGTTCACTTTCTTTCCTCTTTTTGCCCTGTCAAACTCTTTAATTTTGGCTTACAGTCATTCTTTCTCATTATTTGATTCCCCCAATAAAAGAATAGGAAGATTTGGGCTTCCATCCTGAGCTTGCACTCCTGGAAGTTACCAGCAGTATGGACAGTATAGTGTGAGAGACATACAATAGAATGATGTATGTAGAACTACCATGTGTGTACAGAAGACAGATTTGAGCTGGGCAGCTGGGAGTTGGAGAATAGATGTCTGCCAGAAAAACAAAGATAAAAATAAGCTTAAAAAAAGTTGCAACTAGAAATGTGGAAGTATGCAGTTTACCAGAGAAATGGTATGTGATTTTAAACAGCTGCTGCAGTAGGGGACTCCAGGGTGTGGTAAATGAGTAGGCTCTATGATCAGACTATGAATGAATTTTTGCTCTAGGACTTTTCCTAATTTATATTTTAGTAGGATAGCTCTGAAGGTGTCATGGAAAAATACAAGTGAGGAAATTATTGTAAAAAGTTTAGGTGAGAGACAATTAAGAGTGTTCTAGGCAATGCTGGTTAAGATGAGTAAAAATACAAGAAACTGAAAGACTTCTCACAATGTATTCACAACCAGGACTTGGTGAACAAGGAAGAAAAGTTAAGGTAATTGCTATGTTTTCAACTAGATGACTGATGGTGCCACTCTTTAATTTATATGAAGAACATTTAGGAAGATAGCAACTTCCTGACTCTGAACACGAAGACATTAGACACTGAGGTAGATCTGATCAACAGATATTTACAATTGTAGACCTAGAACCTGCTTTGTCTTAGGCACTGACTGCTCCTATAATGATGAAGGTGAAAGGTGGAAGGTGAAAGGATTCACTGTCAACAGAATGGTGCCAAGAGAGGAAAAGTGGGAAATATAAATGAGGTTTGAGACTGAGGAAGGGAGGAGAAGAGAATAGATTATTATCAGCCACTTCTCCCAGTTCTAAAGGAGTAGAGGAAGATTAGTGTTTAAAGTTGTCTTGGGATTTTGTTCATGGTTAAAATGTTAGGGGAAAGTTCAGCCAATGAGACAGGTTAGACTGAAGATTTTTAGCAGAATGACTGAGTGAGATATAAAAAGAAGCACCAATAGGTGGAATAAAGAGAACAGCTAGAAGGGTTCACATTGGGAAAAAAAAAAAAACTGATAAAATGAAAGAAAGATGAGTAACAGTCTGATAATATTGTTGGTAAAAGGTAGAATCTAAAGAAATTTGATTCTTCAGAAAACAGAAGGTTCTTTTTCATTTGTTTCTACATGTGACAATTTTATCTGATAAAGAAGGTGTCAATGATAAAGAAAACAAAGATTGCTGACTAAAAGAAGAGTAAAAGTATGTGGTCAAGCACATGAGGACTCAGCTGAGGTTGACATTACAGATTTAAAAGATAATACAATGTGTTAAGTAAATTATAGACATAAGCATTAGCACTGTAGAAAAATCAAAGGTGGTAGTCTATAAGAACTTGAAATTTAACATCCCAAAACAAAGCAACTTCTACCTTCTAAAACCACCATCTCTGTGTTGTGAGCTCTAGATCAGTGTTATTCCCATTCTTTCTGGTGAACACAAAGATTTTAAATCACCTTCAACTTTTTCCTTCTCCTTTCCCACAAAATTCAATGGGTCACTAAGTTTTTTTTTTTTTTTAATTCTATGTGTAAAATATTTGTCTACCTTTCCTTTATTACCACACCACCTCAAGCTCTACTTGACTCAACTGGTAAACTATTGCCCTCAAATATAGCTTTCTTCCTCAGAGATGATGAGCTCCAGATTTCACACCATTCAAAACTCTGCACACTGTAGTCCCCTTTTGTTCTTTTCCCAGCTTCGTCACCCTTTGGCTTCCCAACCAACCTACTTCCCACTAGCCACTGAGAGGCTATTGTTTTTTCACAAACATTTCATGTACTTCCCTTTCTCTTTATTTTTGCCCAAGTTTTTCTCACTATCTGTTAATACCTCCATTCTTCTCAATGTAATTAAACTCCTTCTGCTTTTTCTTTCTCTCATATGGCATACAAAATAGACACTGAAATGAAGTGAAAGTTGTGGAAGATAAACATGACTAGAGAGCTGGACAATCAGAATGATGAAACTGGAATCTTTGGACAGATAAGAAAACTAAGAATCACACATAGACACAGTCTGGTTAAGCCAGACAGATGATTCAGGATCTGCGAAGAGAACCCAAATATTCTGACCTCTAATTTCCATGTGATAGGGTGAAGAGCAGAGTAACAAGGAGTATTTGGATTTTAAAAAAAAGATTAATAACATGTTAGTTACGTTGCTTTCAACTATGAAATTTAAAACAACCTAATCACTAGCTTACTAGAAATCTGGAAGGGCAGTATCAAGACATGCTAGTGTATGTACTCAGTGCTTTTTAAAAAAGTGAGTGTTTGTACAGGACAGAGCTTATTACTTGGAGTAAGATAGCTGCTTCCCTCTGGCTTAATCCCTGTAATTGGTCATTTACTTCCTTAAAGGAGTTTCATCTTTTCCTGTCAAGATAGCGAGGTAAGGAATACAATGATATATGGAAGAATTGTTTCTGCCTATCCTTCTATTTCTAGGAATTTACTTTTGAACCTTATTTTTCTATGAAGCTTGGAAGGAGTAAGGGAATGGGCAGGTGAGTAGGACTGGCTGATAGAGCATCATACTCCCCAGACATCACTGGTTTATGACTGAGAGTATGTTCCAAGTTCAGCCATTTGAGTTTGGTTAGTTATTCCTATTGCATGTACTTAATCGAGAATTGTGCTCTTCTGTGCTCTTACTGGGAACCCTGAGAATATCCTCCCAGCAGTCTTCTTCCATAACAAGGGGAACAAAGGCAACTGATAGAGATTAGGAGCCAATCCTGAACATTAGTTGAACCTTGGAACCAATGTGTCCCCAAAGCCAGTTTATATTTGGAATTTTCAGATACACAATTCAGTAATATTCTTTCAATATGAATTTGCTGGTTTCTGTACATTGCAATCCAAAGTATTTCCACACAAAATTATTTTCAGTAAAAGAGCTCACTAAATTTTTAAAACTCCCAACAGATAGCTAAATCCAAGTATACAGTTCCATGAGAAAAACATGAAGGAAAAAAGTTAAACTTGCATATACATGTCCAGTAAGAATGTGAGACCAGTACCGTGATTTTTAAAGGAGGGAAGATCTTACTTTTATTCTAAATTAAAGAAAAAATTCTGTAAGTGTTTTACCTACTGCCATATAAAAAAGAACGGAAAGTATTTTTGGTCAGAACACTTTTACATGACAAACTAGCAAAATAAGGATTAAGTAAATAACTTAAGGAAATAAAGCCAATTTCTCACTTTCAGAAAAGGGAGTTATGAACAGCGGAAGATTTAGAAGGAGCTTTTTGATGGACTGAACCTGAACCACTGATGTGCACTCATCGTTTTAAAATGTATAGCTAAATAGAGATAGATATAGATGTGTGTGCGCGTACCCCTCCCTCCCTCCTTCCCTCCCTCCCTCCCTCCCTCCCTGCCCCCCTCCCCTAGTTCCTTTTGGTGGCAGGTCCAGAAGCCATATCACTCGGATGGGTTAGAAAAACCACTTAACATAAAAAAAAAAAAAAAAAAAAACCCTAGGTGTTTCCAAGTCTGAAACAGAAAATAAAAGATGAACTTCACAGTGTTCACATAATAGGTTATATTAAAAGAACAAATGATGCAACCTGAAGGGGTTCCTACAGGTCAAATGTAAGTTTTTAGCATCAAAACCTTCTGAGTAAGAATCCATAGAGACAGCTGATACGAGTGAGTGAGTGAGTGAGTGAGTGAGTGAGTGAGTGAGTGAGTGAGTGAGTGAGTGAGTGAGTGAGTGAGTGGAAAGGAAAACTTTGTACAAGTAGAAAGTGAACAAGTACAGAAGGAAAGACTGAGACAGTCATTTGGGAATCAACATAGTGAAGAAACAATTCAGGCAAAGATAATCAATGAATGCTGAAAGTATCAATGAAAGGTTGAGGAATTTAGAAGTGTCTCTACAGATTAATAATTACAAAGGGGAAAACAGTAACCGTATGGTGGAGAAACCTGACAAGCACCACTTTACCTAAGTGATCAAAGTAACATTGTGACAGGACAAATCACCATCATCTGCCTCCTGAAATGATGCACTGACAAAAATGGAACTACTTCTGTGGTGGTCCTGCCGGGAGGGCGTAGCTTCTAAGCAGAGGAAATAGCAGAAAAAAATCAATTTATGCACTGTACCCCGAAATAACGGGATGGCCATTAACAAAACTAAGGTTAAGAAAGAAAAAAGCAGAAAAAAATTGTTCCAGATTCAAGTAGACAAGACATGACAGATAAATTGAACAAGTGAACCAGGAGTTTCTGTAACAGTTGGACAGTTGGTGAAATGTGAATAAAGACACAGAATAGAAAATCGCATTACATCAGTGTTAGTGTTCACATTCTGTGGTTATGAAAGGGATGTCTTTGTTTTTTGGAAACTCACACTGCCCATAATGGTCATCACATCTGTAATTAAAATGCAACTTAAATGGTTCAGGGAAAACTTGTTTAGAGACCAAATGTGGTAAAACTTGAATACTTGACAGTATGAGTGAAGCGTGGGTGATAATTCTTTGTACTATTCGTGTAACTTTTCTCTAAATCTAAAATTCCTTTTAAGTAAACATATTTGAAAACATCAAAAACAAATGCTACCCTATGGAGTTGGAGACTCACTGTGTTGATACAAAAGTAAAAAGTGTTTATAATTTTAAGGATGGACAAGGAGTTAAAGGAACTTGTAGTATAACCAGTGGTATAACAATAGTATAACCAGTGGTATTTAGGAGACGAATCTAATTTACTATTTTTTGCTTTGTTTCACCTAAGCCTTATGTTTTTGCTTAAACATCATCAGTTTTCTATGATTATTTTTTTATTGTCATAATCATTTTCAGAGGAACACTTTTCCTTTTGTACTTGGGATGATGACCCCTTTCTCTTTCTGATGAGCAAATTACATGCTTTTCCCCACTTATTTTCCCTATTCACATTCTTTGAGTGAGGTGGGATCATCCACATAAATTAACAGAAGGGAAAGCTTTCAGCTCCTCCTGATCCTGTTGACGCGTCTGCTGGCCAACTGCACATTTCACATTGCCCATGGACAGCATTTTGACGTGTGTACCTCCTACCCTAACTCCTAGTGTTCCTCAGGGTCTAAAGGAACGCAGAGTTGTGAACCTGATGCAGCAAGGCATCCTATTTACTGTGCTTGCCTCTATGTTCCTGAAAAGAGGAACACCAGAAACTAAAAATCATCAAAATTCAGAATTCTTTGCACAGCTTTGCCGTTAGCAAATACTCTACTTGGATATAAACCTGTTAGGTTCAATGCACCATTCTCAGTATGAAATCCCATGCACCTTCCTAAGTGGATGCTGGGAACAGTCTCCAGCTGAGTAGAGCAACAGAAGCAGAGGCGAAAGGGGTGGTGGGGTGTGAGCTGTGCTCTGCTGCCTGCAGGGGGCTGAGGGTGGATGCTGACCGGGTATACAATGAGGAAGGCGAGAGCAGCCTACTGCTGCTTGGTGGGATGGCTTACATCGCTAAGGGGTCATCTGTTACAATTTTCAATCTAGTTTCATCCACATAACAACTCCACATATAACAGAGGCTCCAGGTTCTGGCAACAGGAAGACTGTCAGAGTTTTTATTATTATAAAAAATGTTTATTTTCTCCATCTTTATATATTTTTTTAAAGATTTATTTATTTATTCATACAGAACTGGGGTACAGGCCAGAGATGTGGAGGGTGAGAGGCTTCACCAGAGACAGGGTGGGGAGCAGAACAGGCAGATCAACGAAGTACACTGCTGAGGGGAGCAGCAGGCGGGTCAGGAGAGGTCTGCCACGCCATGTGGATCTCCTCCAGGGCAGGCGGGGATCGAACTCATGCGAAAGTAGCTTTTGATTCTTAGTACAGTGCTTTAACCCACTGCGCCACCAGGGAGGGCCCTCTTTATGATATTTTAATAGGGAGCTGAAAGAAGTATTTCTTGTTAGCAGGTGCCATTTTAAAGTTGCATCTTGAATGAATTTGGAAGGCACATATAGGAAGCAACTACAAATACAAAAATGTAAAAGTGCAAAAGCAAACTAAAAGAATTTTTGGAGAAGTCAAGTCATTCACATGGCAACAACCTGGCAGCACATGCCTTGGAAAGGCTTGCTGAGAGAAGTAGTACAAGGAGCACTCTCATGGAAGTCCCATCATTCACTCTCTCTCCTCCTAATCATTTTAATTAGCAAATGTCACAGCTATTGAAACTAAGATGTAAATTCTTAATGTAAATTCTTTTTCTCAAAATATTGAGTTACTTGACGTGCTCTTCTGCTTTAGAGGAGCAATGGGTTCAGGATGATTGTGCCTGTGCCACACGTACCTAACTTAAATTCTTCTCAATTTTTAAATTAAACTTATTCGTTGGGTCAGGATTTTTAGCATTAAAGTCACTAGAGCCCATGAAGGCCCCTTTGTGCACATGAGCAGACGCCAGCCCTCCTGGGCAGGTACGCAGACTGCGCGGGCGAACACAGCAGCCACTGGCTCTGTGGGCTCGGGCGCCTTTGTGCAGTGCACAAACTACACGCTGTAGGCAAGCAGAAGCCTCACTACAGGACTCAAGGCTCACAGGTAAGGAGGGAAAACAGGATTAATGCCAATTATTAAATTGAAGGCTGAAAGCTTGCTTTTCTACCTATTTAGAAATAGTGGCATCATTAAAAGAAAAATATTGGTCCTCCTTGGTGGGGCATCGGGTTAAAGCACTGCACTGAGAAGCTAAAGCCACTTCTGCATGAGTTCGATCCCCGCCTGCCCTGGAGGTGACCACATGGCGTGGCAGACCTCTCCTGACCCGCCCGCTGCTCCCCTCAGCAGTGTACTTCGTCGATCTGCCTGTTCTGCTCCCCACTGTCTCTGGTGAAGCCTCTCACCGCCCCTGAGCCTCTGGCCTATACCCCAGTTTTGTATGTACAAATAAATAAATCTTTAAAAAAAAAAAAAAAGAAAAATATTTGTGAAGTCAAGTCAAACAACTGCTATAAAACACATAAGTAAAAGTCCCCAAAGAGCAGATGCACAGACAGGTGTGTGAGGATGGCACATGGGCCCACGGGCTTGAGGTAGAGGCACTTGGTCCTGGGTCAGTGGGAGAGCAAACCTACGTTTAACCCGTCCAGCAACCAGAGACAGAAGAACGCTGATAGACTGATCTATCCAGCAAACTGATTTTACAGTTACTTTAGAAGAAGAACTTACTTTATGCTACATGCTTTCTGAGAAACATAGGCTACTGTATTATACTTAAGGCATACATTCTTTATTTGGGCACTTGTTAACCTACACAGAATTCATGTTTGCATGCCTATTTAATAAAATACATATTATTTTTTGAATTATTTGTTTAACACACACACACACAAACGGTTAATACAACCAGTATAGGGCTTTGCAAAGCAGAGGATTTTTGTTGTGGCTGCTGTTAAAAACTGCACGGTGTAAAGAAAAGTTAAAAGTATACTCACTGAATTGGCGTTTGTAGGGTTTGGCCAAGGTCTACCACCACCTGGACCCCTACAAGACAACATGATACATTGCAATTTTAACCAACAAACTTTGTTTTAGAATAAGCAACAACAAATCATAAAATAGTAACATTTCTAATTCTACACTGTGCAACTCTAGTTAACTGAAATTAATCTTTATTTTTTTACAACTTTATTTCTTATTTTTTTTTCATTCTATGATGAAATTTCCTTCTTGAACCAACCTGCTAGGTATAATTTTATTTTGATATCAACTTCAGATACTGTTACTTAAGTTACCACTAAAAAGTAGTAATGACATATAGCAGTAGCTAAATCTAAACCATTACACAAACATTTGGGGATAAAAGGCACAAGTGAAAATGAAATTATGACTAAAGTATTTATATGTTTATATTTAACAAAAAATATGCCTTCAGTATATTTTAAGTCACAAGACTAGTTATAAGTGCCATTTATATCTCATTCAAAGTAAAAATTAAGGTATTTTTGAAATCTCCATAGATATTTATCCATAAAATATCTACAATAAAATGATTATTCTTATGCTGAATGAACATAGATGTTAAATTTGTCTCCGTTCCAAAAAATTGTACACTAGCATTTATCACATTATACTTATCTATAGATTTATATATCTTTTAGTGCTGTTGACAAATAACTATTAAATAATGGAATCACATTTCTTGTCTTCACAATTGTACTTCAGAACAGTGGTCAGAGAACATATCTTGGGGGAAAAACAGGCGGTAATCAATGCCAAAATATATCAATACATTACTTCATTTAAAAGGAAAAGTTTTAGTCTATAATGTACAAGGGCAAGCATTAGAACAAAAATCTCTTAAATCAAAATCTCTTATGTTTCAGTGTTACTTAGCAGTATTTAGTATCAAGTATACTTGAGTATAGACTGCCTGATACAGGCAAGATTACTGTTGTTCCTTTCTAATTTGGGGTCAACATTCCCTATCTCTCTAATTGCAGAGAAAAGACATTGAAAACTTTTAATGATACTTATTCCTGGGATCTTAAACCCCTGATACTTACTCTGGGGATCTTAAACCATAGTTTATGAATCTGAAGTGCTATTCCACAGAGACTGTCCAGGTCTGCTATCTTACCCATGTTTTCTCAGAACATTTAGTGCTATATTCAGTTTGTTTTAGGATTCCCCAGGGGTAGAAGTAGCAGGGGAAGGCATAAAAATCCTGTCCGTGGGCACCATACGACTACCAAATGCAATTTTTTTTCTGCTTGAGGAATTGAAGGGGAAAATAAGATGTTAGAAGGGATTTTTGTCACAGTATTGTGCAAAGACAAAGGGGCACTTGTGTTGTCTCTGGAAATGTCTTCTTCCAGATAATGATCATGATGCTGATAACGTTGCAATAATTGGAACACTTTAGAAAGATGATTTTGCATATAGGAGTCAATGTTCTAGTGGATAGAAACTAAGGTAAAACAGTATATTTGTTGATCAAGTAAAACATTTGTTTGAAATAAATAAGGCAGCAAAAAATTGGGTAATACTTATCTGAAGGCAAGATAAAAAATACATCCCAACATGGCAAAATTTGTACACAAGATACTCTATGATGACCACCTAATTTTGAAACGTTACCTATAATTAAAGGCTATATGAATAAGTATAAATACAGAAAATATTTGATCAATATTAAGCATGCTAAATTAAATACAAAAATAAACATTTAAACAAATTGGTTAAATTTAAATTTAACATAAAATTCTTTTAAAACATTTCATTTGTTTAACAAATACTAGCCAAATCTTGGCCTACTATGGACTTCAAATTGAAATGCATTTTAATATAAGAATTTATGTTCTATCTCCTAGTGATAAGATAAATTTCCTCAATTCCCATTGTGTTGAAAATACTGTTTCACAAATAGCACTAAATAAGGTGGGATTATAGTAAGAACTTTTATTAGGATTACTTAAACTCAATAATCCCCTCTCCTTTCGAGAGGGTATCAGTATTATCAAGAAAGTAATACACTAACTACACTATAGCTATTATACTGCACTGAAATTTCTATATAAGCATAGTTTAAAATACAAGGTGTTAACCTCATTGAAGACAAGCAAAAGGTGAATTTAAAAGAAGTCTGTGCTTTTGGATAAGGACTATGGCATCAAAATAACCATGGTTACCCAAGAGAAAAATCCTCTTCTCTTCACAGTCATTTTATTTCAAGATAACTACTCAAACTTATAAGTCTATGTGATCTCTATAGCAAGAAGTTTCTTAAGATCCTTTGTATGTTTTGGGATTTTGTAGAAACTAAGAAAACAAAGTTAAATTTTCCATGATTGGGCAGTTTAATTTCTACAAAGTCCTAAAGTCTTTGGAAGTTCTCTTTAGAAATCTATAATGTATTTAAAACATTTACATTGTGGTAGTAGCTTGTAAACTTTGTAAATTCTACTGTAAATTACTTAAGCTAATATTTAGCTTTTATTTCTAAAGATGTAACACTAGACACAGAAACTAGAAAACATAAGATTAAAAAAACTTTGGTTTATTTTAAATGCCATAGTTTGTAATGTTATCTTGAGTTTAGAACAGGAAAATGTAAAGATTACAACAGAATAACCATTTTCTTTTCAGAGGGTCAATATTTTAACAGCAGAATTAGGAGAATGTTTCCCAAATGATTTCTTCTTCTTCTTCAAAAAAAAGATAAAGTAGATAAAGTTGCCAGTTATAATACAATTACTTTACCATGGTGATACCTTCATGGCAACTAGGAAAACTGAGAAACTAAAGAAAGCTAATCTGTAGAGAATTCTTTGCTAGGTCCATTCTAACCCTAGCACATAAATAATTTAGACTATTAAAGGTACAGCTTTAAGATAAAACAATTCTAATGCTTTTCCTTCAATTTTCAACATGTGAAAAGAGAACAGCTTCACTAGTACTAGATAGAAATACTTGTTTGCATTAACACAGTAAGACTTACTTTGTTTTAAAGGTAATAAATTATAAAGTGTCAGTAAAACCTACTCTATTGAGTACATGGAAATTTTATTTTAATTGTAATGTCTCTTTAAATTCACCTTTTCTTTGTTGTAGCCTAAATAAGTACAACAATCATTCTGAGGTTGTATTTTCCACACTACAGAATTTTCCCAGTTAGATGGAAATGTTTACAAATGTAAATGTAAATGTTAACATTTTCATTGTCCTTAAAGAAATTCTAATTTGTGGAAAACTAAAACTGAGACTCTAAACAAAATACAATAATAAATGATGGAAATCAGAGTTTAATGCTAAAAGGCCCTTTTAAATGTAGAATTTATATAAACAGTAAAAAGTTACATAACAGAAAATACAGTTTCCAGGTATATTTCAAAGAGAAGCCCACATCCAAATATCACCAGAAATAATTTTTAAAATTTCTCTCATATTTTTAGCTCCATGGCCTAGGAATTGTGTGTATTTTATATATAGATGAGAAAGGAATTTTAAACAGCTATTTGAGGCTTGTAATGGTTACATGTAAATGTTTTTCTCTGTACTAGCTAAATCAGATTAATCTAAAGTTGACCACATGGTTGATTATAATGAAGACTAATATATAAAATGCTAGATAACACTATTTAGTAATTCTGGATTATCATATTAAAATGTATACTTCTTACACTTACAGTTACTCAATTTTCCTGTTAACTACATTTTAAAGAATGCCAAGTAGGTAAATTCTATGTGTATCTAAAATCTGTTAAGAGTTTTAGCTTTTGATATAAACATAAAATATCACTCACTCCTTTTTGTAGCAACCATTTATAAAGGCCAAACCTTTGAGGAATTTAAGAGAAGTCAGGCTTCATGTCGATCATTTTTACTTTAAAAGTAAAAAGATGTGATAGGAAAATTTGACCTACTTTTTCCCTGTTCTGCTAGTTTTGAGTCTGACCGGTACTCACCTATTAACCTATTTTCTATTTTAGGCAAAATTGCTTTCCATGAAAAAGATTTCAGAAACTTAAAAAAAAAAACAAAAAAAAACACAAACCCCCCCCCCAAAACTCAAAACCCAAAACCTCATATGCATCAGAAGAATTTATCTCACAGTATGTTTTAATACCATTAAATTATGTCACAGTTGTTTAATTTGATATGTAAATAACCAACATGCAGACTGATGGGAAAAATCTCAGAAGACTCCTTACACCCCATATGAACACTTTATTTCTCCTAAGCTTTCTTTCAGCCAAATCATGGACTTGACCCACTCAGTAAATGAATTAAAAGTACTATCAAGCATCACATGTGTAGGAACTTTGAAGGAAAGTTGATGAAAAATTCCCTAATGAATTGAATTATATTGGCTGATGGGAAGTTTACTCTCTTTGGGCTTGAAAGATGTTTTCAGTAAAAACCAAGTTGCTGGTTGTTTTCTTAATCTAAATGTATGTTGAATATACAAGAGAAAAGTCACCTTATCATGTGGAAATTTAACATAATAGGCAACTTCCAGGGTTGATAGTAGCCTCAACAAAGCAAAAGTAGAATGTGTGTGTGTGTGTGTGTGTATAAGTATTTGTATGTATGTATATATATATATATACTTAAAGGAATTAAAAGTACATGGTTTATAATCCCAACATGTTAACTTCATTTTAGCAATATGTAACTGTGTATAGTTAAGTCACCATGTCTGCACACTTCTGAATACACTAAACAGAGATTATGTGCTTATTTGTAAAAGACTCATCTTTGTGATAATTAACAAAACATGAAAATCAGACTAGAAGTTAGAGCATTTATGACATTTAGAGAAACAAAACAAAGGATTTCATTCTTTGAGAATTCTGCCTAAATCCAACAGCAGATTTATTTCAATAATTAATAGTAAGCTGTCAACAGTTTTCTATGAATATCATCTGATATATACTTATTATTAAATAATGTTTAAAATCTGGTGTAAAAAATAAAAATCCTTTACAATTTAAAAAAGTCACAAAGGAAGGAGGAAAAACAGAATAGGTTGTGAAAATGAAGCAAATAATACATCTCAGGTTTAGTTTATACAAGTTTCATTTTATACTTCACAGAAATTGAGCATTACACCCTGTTACTTTAGAGGACAGAAAATAGAACGCTTTACTGAACAGGATAATATAACATTTTGCTTACATGTTCATTCCAGGCATCCCAGGGCCACCTAAAGCATTCAGTGGGGGTCTCATTGCACCTCCATAGTTCTGTAATGATAACCAAGGGTCAGACTACCACAAAACAAAAAAACAAAACCAAAGAGGAGGGGGGAAAGAAAGGAGAGCAGGTTAATGATTTCCCTAGATAACTTCTGACTGGATAAGGCCTGTGCAATTCATTCTCTGAAGGGTCCACTCTTGTATTTTGCTTCTATTTTAACAATTACTCTCTTTTGTGGCTTTTAAAAGCTACATGAATATGTAAAATCATTTGGAGGTTAAATGATTAAGGTCTAGTTAAAGTTACAAGAGTCAATTATCTTTTAGTATTTTTATAACCAGTGAACTTTTTCAAATAAACATTTTGTAAATCCAAATCTGTTTTTAAAGACTCAGCCACCATATTTGAGATTGATAGACCCAGAACACATATATAAAGTCTGAAAACACCTGAGCAGGTAAAAGCAACCTAAGAAAGGTGAATGTAAACTTCTGTTCACAATATATAGGAAAATGTGGTCGTATACAAATCTATGAGAATTAAGGCATTCTCAAAATATGTACGGCTGAATTACATGACTCAGTTGGCTTCTGTCCATATCTATTATGTGCTTTAAAGGACAAAAATATTTTTAATGTTTTAACACACATAATGTTAGTTCACTGTAGTTTTCACATTAATATAGTTTGACTTTAAATGCTTGGCTGTTGGACACCACTGTTTTTTCAACTTCTGTCATTGTCTTTCAATTTCCTTTGATGGCTCCTTTTATTTTGCTAGCTCTTAGAATATTGCTCTTCTGCAAGCTCTAGTCACAACATTCTTTATGATAAAAATTACTACACATGTAGTAATTTTATCTGCTACCATTAGTTCAACAACAACTATTTCTAGGAATGCCTCTCCCCTTAGCACCTAGATAACGCATACATTGAATTTCACATGGATTGTTTCCATCTAGACACCACTTCATGCTCAGCATACCAAAAAGTAAACTCAGTATTCCTTTCTCATGTCTGTGTTGGTTAACTTCCTCAGGCAGTTCCGAGGCATCACCTTCCATTTAATGTCTAGGTTAAGAATCTCTAGGAACTACTCCCATTTCTCTCTGGTTCTTTCAATTTCTATACCTAGTCAGTTTCCAAGGCCTATTGGTTCTACTTATGAAATACTCTTGAGATTTGTCATTTATTGAGAATACTTTTACAATTTCTCTCTGACTTAACCTTTTCTTCTCCCAGTTTATACTCTGTACTGCCTCTAGAACAATGGGTTTGTAACTCAGTCCTATTTATATCACTGAAAAGCCATGATGACCCATTGTACCTATCCATGTCTGTAGCCTCAACATGGCCCTACGAAGTTATTCAAATCAGCCCCAGTCTATTTTTCCTACTCTCATTTGCTGTAATTCTTGCCTTCTCCCCTTATTCCCAAACTACTGGGTTTCTTGAGGTGTGGAAACACAATATATTTACACTCAGCCTCTTGGCCTTCCATACAGTAGCTGCCAAGCTGACAAGGAAAAAGGAAACATTCAATGAGACAAGTCTGTTAACTCCAGAGAATAGGCTACAATTTAAATTACCTAGTTACATGCTCTTCATTGTTTACTTTTACTTTCAGGAAATCTTATTTAAACATACCAATTTTGTGTGCTATGGAACTATAAAATTGTTTCTACCCCTACTTGAGTCACCGGTTAAAAGGTTAGCTATTTTCCTTAACCTCAGCATCAAACATGATGGTGGTAGCAGCATTATTCTGAGAAGCCCCTGAGAAGAAAGTTTACTCATGGGGAACCAAATCTATATGATAAAAGTATAATAGCAATCTTTACAAGGAACATCTACCGCACCTTTAGTCTTAGAAGCTATGTATTTCATTTTATCAGAAAACTAGCTTTCTTTACAGCTCTGCACACAAAAAGATACTGAGTGAAATCTGTTGCCAGTGCTCCATTTCCTCTACCCATCTTGCTGTGTGTGACTGTGGCCCAGTGGCTCTAATTACCCACTCAACCTTAATTTTTTTTTTTTTTACTGTAAAGTGATAATATCTTCCATAATAGCTTGTTGGAGGATAAAATGAAATAGAAAACACCTATCAGAGTGCTTGGTGCATGATAAGCATGCTACTTGGGGCTGAAAAATTATAGGTGCTAACATTCTTACCACAGTTAGAAGGGGCCAACTTAAATGCGTTCTTTTGTCATTAGATTCTCTTGAGTACTCTATCTTAACAGACTCACTTGCCTATGTAATGACTCCCTGACAATATTATGCATATTTCTTCTTTGAGTTTTTTTTCCCCTACTGTGTAAATTTTTCTTTATCTGCATCTCTGACTATATAGTAAGCACCTTGAAGGTAAGAATTTGTTTTGTTCATTTCTGTATAACCCAGTGCTCAAGTGCCATAGGGAATGAGTAAAAAAATCACCTAGTACGTGACTCGATAGATTGATATAACAAATATTTTCATTTGTGAAAAACCTAAAGTAAAAAGAAAACATAAGAAAAAAAACTGGCTCTCCAAGTTGTAACAACAAAGGCAGAATGGGAAGAGCTAATTTAGAATCAGTGAATTTTAAAGTTGATGGCAGCTATACAATCCCATCTGGTTTAATCTCTTTCCCAATGCAATGTTCCTGACAAAATGGCTTTTCAGACTCTGCTTGGAAAGTTTATACAGAGTTTTTCCATGATTGGGCAGTTTAATTTCTACAAAGTTCTTTACAACAAACTGAATTCTACCTCCCATCTTAGATTTGAAAAGTCAGTTTACTCTTTTTACGTCACAGCCTACGATATTCCCATAATACCATTTCTCTACCCTAACTATTCGATTTAGGAATCTGGTATGTTCTACTTGTAGGCAACTCATTTATGTAGGCTTTGGATTTCTAGAGGGATCAGAAGTGGTTGGGAAGGTTTGGTGAATTTTTCTATTTTATGACACTGAGCATAAGAACACAAGTTTATTCTGAAATCAAGTAGAAATAGTACTTCAAATATGTATTAGATAATCTTTTCATTATATAATTATGCTTTTCTTTTGAAGGGATAATGATGTAAATTTAACTATTACCGCAAGTTAGATTTACAATAACTTAAAGGTTAAAAGAAAACACCACGACTTTGGGCAAAGTTTTATTTTTTGATTCATGCATGCAATGAGTATTAATCACATGTTTATTGTAGGTGTACACTTTGTTTAAGTTAGCATTATCTAAGAATCATTAGATTATATACATTTTTTTCCCAAGTGGTTTGCTCATTCCAATAGATAACCACTATTTTTCACCCTTATTTTAACCTCAACAAATCACAGAAATACTATCTGATAAAAATATCTTTCACTTGTGCATAAAGCAAGACACATTTCTATAATTCACCTATTAAAAAGCAGAAGCAGTGGATAACATAAGTATAGTCAAATGTCTATTAGGAAATTTTCTCATTTTTAAGAAACACGGCTAATCTTTTTTTTTTTTTTAAAGATTTATTTATTCATACAGAACTGGGGTACAGACCAGAGGCTCAGGGGCAGTGAGAGGCTTCACCAGAGACAGAGTGGGGAACAGAACAGGCAGATGGACAAAGTACACTGCTGAGGGGAGCAGCGGGTGGGTCAGGAGAGGTCTGCCACACCATGTGGTCACCTCCGGGGCAGGCGGGAATCGAACTCATGCGGAAGTGGCTTTAGCTTCTCAGTGCTGTGCTTTAACCCGCTGCGCCACCAGGGAGGGCCACAGCTAATCTTTATTACATGTTTCATAGTTTATGTACAGATGTTATGAGTAAATACTGTTCAACAGCCTCTCATTTCTAACTACTATACCTCACTTTTATCTTGTATACCATTCCTTTGAATGAATCCTGTTGTTTACTTTTAAGTATATAATAGGTATAAATAATTTCCTTTCCTCTTTTATACTTTGTATACTGAGATTTAAAAAAAACTTCTTGTATGTCTTTTTGGTTTCTGAGGTACAGTCATACCAAAACACTTTCTATATTTCAAATCACATAGAAAGAATATCAATCCAAAAAAAAAATACTCTGAGTCTGAAAATTTAAGGAATTTATATTTATGTTACTTAGTTATTAATATTTTTCAATAAGAGATTACTCACCAGAACTGTTTTACTCACCAGAAATGTTTTATTTCTGTTGTAATTTAACAATCATACAAAACAGATAAACATATAGCTATATATTTTAAAAACACAAAGTCCAGTATCCTTTATTCATTTTCAGATGAGATCTAGATTTTCATATAGGTTAGTTAAGAATTGATATATATTTCAAGTACTGCAAAACTGACTCAAATCAGGCTGTAGTTATTACAAATGTTAATAATGGTCTGGGAATACAAAAGCTTAAAGAGAAGTTAGCTGAAAAATAAACTGAATGAAGAATGATAACTAATTATAGGTACAAAGTTTTTAATGTATATTTAAAAATGTATATCATGCACATTTTTGAGGGCCTTCAAGTTCTATAACAGCTAAAATGGTTGACTTGGTTTATTTTAAAAAGATTAGGACAATTCATTGAATATACTGTTATAGCTTTTATAAATTATAATTTCTGTTAATAGCTTAATGATGGCTGGTCACCTAAATCAACATTAATAATTTTTTTTAAATATAAAAATTAGATTTATAAGATCTTGGGAAAAACTAAGCCTAAATACAATTTTTTTTCGGACTTCCAGGATATTACATATTTCATATAGTGGATTTTTTTCCCTACATAAAATGTATTTTTGAAATTTTTGGTTATATGTGCCTCATGTTACAATATGGTTAATATGTATGCTATTGCATGTATGTTAGAAATGCCTAGGACACATTATCTGAGCCTTTGTCTTATTTTCTGTCTCTTTCGGGCACAACACAAAGTAATCATTTTTAAAATGAAGCTACATGAAACAAGTTCTTAAGCTGTCACTTACAAAGTAGTTCTTGGAAAAGATATATGTGTGTGTGTGTGTTTAATTTATTCTTTTAACCAGTTTTATAATATGCTAACCTCTGACCCATCAAGTAGAAATTTAACAGTCTGGATTTTGGATTAGTTTCTTTGAAATACAGCATTTGAAAAAATCATCAAGCTGACACGGGTTTACAGCACTATGTTTCAAAGGCATAGGATCACACCTCCTCAAATGCATGTCACCACACCATACAATTTTTCCAAGAGAGACAAAAATAGATTGTAGCTAAAATAAATGATAGCTGGTAACAGCATACTTTAAAGATGGCACTAAACAGGAAAGGTTCAACCTCAGTGTATACTTTTGGGGAAGTTTTGATAGAGAGGTAGGCTAACATCTGATACCTACTGATGAAACTATGCTTGGTCAGAAAGACCTGTTTTAATGTTTAATTCCAAATGATGCTAGACAATATATTACCCCTGGCATTTAAAACACAGTAATATGTTTATGCTCTTATTTTAATATTCAATATTTAATATCAATTCATTTTTATTTAACTTAATTGTTTATAATTACTGCACATTTTAATATTTCCTCATAGCAAATACTATAAGTCACTTAAATAATTACAGCAATGTATCTCTGTACAATATACAGAATGAACTAAAGGTATTGGTCCCTTTATATATCATGCCTTTAATGTATAATCAGAGACAGCAAACAGTAGAGTTTATATGAAATGAAAACAAAAAGACCCTCAGCATTTAGCTTTCTGTGCTGATCATTTACCTGTGGTCCTAAGGGAACCATTCCTCTTGGAGGAGTCATTCTCTGCATTGGCCCACCCATATTTGGATGTCCTAAAAAAATAATTCAGCTATTAGCGGTGCTGTCAGCGTGACTCTAAATCAGAGGTCAGCAGCCTCCTCTGAGCTACTGGCATCATCTCACCACGGCTGCCATGGCTATTGCTCTATCTCTTCCAGTACCTTCCTATCCGCCCCCCCCACACACAATCAGTGACCCCAAGAGTGAACATTTCTTCCGATTCTGTGTTCAATGACATCTCTCCCACCATTGTTTTTTTCTTAGGACAGAACAATAAGGTCACATATATCACATATATCTGTGGTACTTAAACATTTTTATGGAAGGACTTGATTTTGGGCTTTATTAATCAAGTCCTTTATTGTTCAGCATCTCTTGCCTCCTGTTTATTTCTTAAATGGACTAACATCTCCATCTGAAAAAGGAAGACAAGATTTTAAGTGATATAGTTACTTTGATTCCTACTTGTTAGAAGTTATGTAAGGTTTTCAAATTATTAGGATAATATCCAAAGATTTATATTTTGTTAGCACTGCTGATACCATGATGCATAATTAGAGTAAGCTGAAAATGAAACTCAACTTGACTATGCTACCTGAAAAACAAAAGCAACTGGTATAATCATGGAAGATTTATACAAACAAAATTTTCCTAAAAAATTAAAGGATCTTTGAGATTCGGGGCATCAATTTTACTTTCAAGTAATCACCTTGTTGTCGAGTTGGGTCCATTCCACTGGGGAGTAATGGCTGACTTCCTGGGACTCCTCCAAGTGCCTAGCATAGTAGGTAAACAAAATAAAAAGCAACATTGTAAATATAAAACAAGTCCTTTAATTCACATCTAAAATACTTACAATTACAAAATGCATTTGAGTATGTGACGAGATTTCTTGTAGTTCACATTTGCTTACAATACTAAGTTTACTGATGTATCGTGTATACCTAGTGAAAGTTTGTTCTCAGAGGATTCTACTTTGCTAAATTTTGTGGTTAACAAAATTAGTATTTTTAGGGGGACAAAATGGAGGCAAACAATTGTCCTGTTTCTACCTGAAAAGTATGCCTTTCCTCTTAGTTTAGCAAGGGTATTGCTAATTTTGCTTCTAACTAATTTTGCTTCTTAAATGTAAGGATTGTATTTCTGTAGTTTTGTTCCTTGGAGACTATAACAGTAGCACTAAAATGCCAAGGGACCAGTGAATATTTATTTGCAGCTACATTTCCCCCAAAAAACTATTAAGAAAAATACTTAAGTTTGAACAATCTGGCTGTATGGAAAAAGCTAGCAAGAACTGAAAAAGGTAGAGGTGAACAGATAGGGGTTAATTTATGTAGCAGTACATCCTGGACCGCAAGCTTCTGCTAGTTGTTGGCACAGCGTGTAGACGAAGTTATGAAAGATTTAAGCCTGTTAATCCTATGAAGTATGTATGTATAAACACATACACATATAGAGGGTTATTTATGTGTAGATACATAATTGGGAAAGAACTCCTGTAAGCTTCTACTAATTTAAGAATAAAACTTCTCAAATGAATTAAACACATCAAAAAATTTTGGTAAGAATTTATATATCCACATCAAAATTGTTTCATTACTTGGTATCACTTAAAGGTAGTAGAGGGCTGTCATTTCTCAAACCATTTTTGTAATTTTCTTCCTTGCTTACAAGCACATTAAGTGCATACTTACCTGAGTTACTACTGTAGGCTCTGTTCTCTCTTTACTCTCCTAGCCTAGTTTCCTGCTGCTGCCACATTGTATTCTAACTTCTAGCTGTATAATCATGACTTCCATATTTTTTTCAATTCATGACTTTGTTTAATCATATCTAAACGACAATAATTTAACCTAAAACTAAACTATCCTCTCACAGCAATCACAGTCCCTTAAGTGGCTATTACTGACATATTTTAGATTTCAGTTAGTGATTATTTTTGAGGTAACACTGGTTAACATCACTGTATATGATTCAGAGATGCAGGATGTTTGTCCCATAGCACAGCCAAGAACATGGCACTCATACTCCTTAAGCACAGTCTACTGGGCCCTCACCCTTCTGGGGATTACTTCTTAACAAAATTCTTTCATATACCCCTGTCTGGATAAGTTCTCCTATTTATTTCAGAAAATACATTTTATAAAAATTGCAAACTTACAGAAAAATTGTATAACCACTGCAAAGCATTTCCATACACTATGACCACATCTGTCCCATCATTTATATATATACTTTCTATCACCTTTCTCCTTCTCTATACAGACACTTGTTCTAAGTCTTTTTCAGAACCATTTGAGAGCAAGTTGTTGACATTATACTGCATCACCTGTAATTATAGCAGAATACACTGAACAGTTCATAAGCAAGGATATCCTCCTCCATAACCACAATGCAGGTTTTCAGTTTAGGAAATCAGCGTCGCCACACTATCATCCATTGCCATCACAGATCTTCAAATTGTCATTTGTCTCAACATTTTTTTTTTTTTTCTTTGACACCAGGATCTTGTGAAATACACATCGCATTTAGTTGTTAGATTTATGCTCCTCCAAGCAGAAACAATTATTTAGCCCTCCTTTACCTAGCATGTCCTCAGCAATTTTATAGAACAGGTCTTAAATTTTCTAGGACAATCTTCTGATGTCTCTTCTTGACCCAGACTCAGGTCCTAGTCTCATAGAAGGAATACCAGGAAAATGTTAAACTCAGTGTATCACATTAGAGAGTATGTGATGCTTACTCATCCCACTACTTGGTAGTAATAGCCTTTGTCATATGACTGTTAGTGTCTACCATAAGGTCAATATTGTTCCCAACATATTATTTTAGTACTGGCACTGTATCAAGATTGCCAGTATCACATCCCTCATCAACACTTTATCAACCTACCAAAGTTAGCATCCATTTTCAACTCCAAAGAACTATGATAATTATGAAAAGGACATATTCCATGTCTCTTGTTCTTTCTCTGCTTATTGGTTGGTTCTGTTCTAAGGAAGAACATTTCTTTACTATTCAAGTATGGATTCCTGCTTTTGCAATGCACTGACCTCTATTAAAATTACTTGTTATAACATTTAAATTATCAAAATTTTGCCAGTGGGAGGTTCTTCAAGCTGATATGTCCATTTGACATGTCCACATTATATATACAGCATTTCTTAACTGGCATAAGATTCAGCTCATACTTTTTCTGGATTAGCTCTGGAATCAGTTCTTTCTCCAAAGAGTCCTGACACCTTTCAGTGGAGACAGTATTTAGGCATTAAATTTAGGTTCTTAGGGTGTATTCATTGTTGGCTGCTCTGCTTTTAGGACAACTCAATAGATGCTGAGTTCAAATATCTATGTGTGTATATATGCACATACATTTAAGACTAATTCAGTGTATGTGTATGGTACTTACACATAACCATAGATTCACAATCTCCAACACCAATTCAATATTTTCCAAGCCAATCCCAAAACTTAGGACTATTTTTAGTCTTCATCCATTTTATGTTGCTATTTCCTCTAACCATTTTAGTAAATTTAGTACCTTCTATATCTTCATTATCTTTAAAATTTTTTACTTTTTTTTTTTTGCTCAGTAAGTGTATTTTTTTCAATATAAACCAGTATCCCTGCTATTTATTTCTGCTACCTCGTATGAATCCTCCCTGCTTCTGTCTTAATGTCTTCATGTGCAGGTGAGGGTTTCAAATGTACTTTTATAAGATCTTATTTGTCATTTTCATTGAACTTATGATTATGGTTTATTTTCTGTGTGCCCAACAGATGGTAAATTCAGAGTATGGGCCATATTTGTGCCTATGAAATTCAAAGAATGAGAAGGAAAAACATCAAATATAATAAGACTAAGAAGTTAAGAATAAGTGGAAAAGGAAAAAAAAATGAATAGGTAAGAAATTAGGAGGAAGGGTCCAAAACCAACATTTTAGAAAGCATGAGGAGAGTTTCACTCTGATGTGGTCAATGCTGTCGAAAGTTACAAAGAGGAGGACTGAAAATATATGACATTATCTATGAGCTTTGAGTTCTTGCTTTAAGTTTCCATATGATTAGAATTGTATATGCTCAACTTAGATTCTGAATCTCTAAATCCTGCTGAAGACATTGTTTGACCACAAGAAGCAATTTTCTTCAAAATTTTACTTTTTCTTGTTTATCTTAGCATATAGTAACAATTGATGAGCTTTTGTTTTTATTGTCACTGTGTAATATTACACAAATCTTGATTCATGTCAAACTGTCTTTAAAAATGACAGTCATATAAATAACTGTTGAGTCATCAGTTTTATCTTTTATAGTAAGTCAAATTTCTAATGTTTAAAGCACTTATCAGTGATGGGATAACCAGGTGATGGCTTGTGCCATAGTGGTGTAGTTGTAACATTTGGTAAACTCTTACTAGCAGGAAAACCAAATTTGCATTTCTTGTAGTTATAGTTAAGTAATATTTCATATATACTTAACATGCTAGGTGTATTCCACTCACACTAGTTTAGTGGCAAATTTTTGGCACACATCCTTATCCTATAAAAGACTTTCCCTATGACTGAAAATAAAACTACTGATGAGATAATTGTAACACACTCTATTATTAACAATAAAATACACCTCCCCGCTCATCTATTTTATCCAGTAAATACTAGATTGAATCATATAAAATTATCTTTTTGGGTAAAAATGTCTAAATATTGGCAATTACCAATTAATTCAGTATTAAGTATGTCTACTTGATGGGAATACACATAATATCTCTTTATACATGGGCTTGCCTACTCTTGACAGTCACTTTTCAGTCTATTACTAACAACTTCCACTCAGGTGGCCCAAACTTCTGACTTTGGTTAAGTTTCATGAAAGGCAGAACTTTCCTTCACATATTGAGGTTTTATCTGTAGCTTTCATTTTGACCTTATACACATATTTTGGTTCTGAAGACTTTATGTTTTTATAGTGATATTAAAAAAAGTCAAATTCTACATGTGAAAACTTTCCAAGTCAGAAAATTATTGGTGTGGAATGTTCTCCTAAGCCAGTGAACATGTAAGGAAGAGTATGTAGCTTGTTTAAAATGCATCATCTTGGTAACTTACGGATATAGAAAATTTATTTTCTGTGTAAGTTAAGTATTCAGCAATTCTTTTTCCTGCTCAGATTCCTGATAAAATATCTTTTAGCTGAAAAGTGATTCTTTAATCACACATGAAATAACTTTAGAAATAAAAAGAATATGGTCCTTACAGACTTTAAGACAAACACATGTTGGGGAAAGGGGCGCACATGAATAGTCTAGTAAAAGTGATACAAGTTTTGTATCTTTTTGACATGTAGTAATGTATTATAAGTATTTTCTCAACAATAAACTTAATTCTATGCCATACCTTTTAACGGGTGTATACTTTCTCACTGTTTTGACAAAATCATTTACTATTAGGCAGTGATCTTTGAGAGGTTCAGAATGGTCAGCTATGAAATACTTCTAGAATATAGAATGGTCATAACATTAAACTTTGTTATTTCTATTCCACATACTGTGGACACTCAGAAATGGTTAAGAAATAGAGAAAATAATTAAAAATTCTAGAGAATTAATCTTGGCACCACTCACTAATAATCTCTGTATTTGTCTGTATTGGTTTCCTCATTATAGAATGAATACTGTGAATATTTCTGATTAGAAATTTTATCTATGAGAGGGATAAAGAGTTACACCTAGTTACAGATTCTTCAACACCAAAGAGGACCCTAATAAGTTGTTGGTGGTGATGTACACTAGAAAAAGAACTGTATCTACCTTAAAAGTGATGTATCCACTAAGTGGATATATCATATGATCCAGCAATCCCACTTTTTAGGCATAGATCCAAAGTATATGAAAATGCCAACACAGAAAATTACATGCTTCACAATGCCTAGAGTAAGTACCTCTTGATATATATACAATGCAATGCTATTCAGCTATAAGGAAAAGTAAAATGTTATAATTTACAACAAAACAGAGGAGTTTGAGTAAATTATGCATGGCAAAGCTAGTACAGAAGATAAAGGCAAATGCAGAGCAATTTCTCATATAGGAATAAAGTAAAGAATCAAGCCACATGAACTGATACAGCAAAGTAATTATAAACTAGTGGGCACTAATAATTGAAGGGAGATTTCTGAGGTTAAGAGGGAGAAAGAAGGACCAGAGGTAAAAGGTGTGGATGATAGGAGGAAAGACCTGCACTTAGTTTCCATGTCTCATGTTAACACTTAGATTTATTCTTCACCATCTTGCGTATTTTTGTAATTTGACTTTCCTTTACTATCCTTCTTATATTTTTTGACATAGTGGTATTTTACCACATCTAAATACCAACTTCTACAATACATAAAAAATAGAGCCCATTGTGAATTAAGCCTAGAATCATGAAACTATCTTAGGAGAACTGAAAATATGCAGCCTAATTATTAGTAATTATAAACTCTGAAGGATCTGTTAACATATTCAAAATGATTAGTCAACACTATTGAAGTTAATATTTCAATGTTTATTTTCTCAGATGTAATCTATCAATAAGACAAAGTTTCATTAGCTTATGACATTTTAGATGAAGGTTAAATCAAATTGTTCAACACTTTTGTGTTTTAATATACAGCATTTCAATTAATAACTAAAGATACTTTTACAATTTTACCTTAATGACTAAAGAAACTAATGAGCTATATTTGCTGTTTGAAAAGATTGTGCTCCTAAGTAGTTTTAATGGTAGGTTTATACTACTAATATAAATTGCTTAGAAAATTCTCTTGGAAAATAGTATTAATGTAAGTCACAAGTTTGAAAGTTAGATGTTTATAATATTGAAGTTCAACTATATTTGTGGGGGAGGAGCGAAAGGAGCCACACAATGACCACACTCGTTTTACATGTTTATGTAAAGTCTGTTTAAAAATCTTGAGGAAATGGAAGTCTGTCCCAAAACTGTTACTACTTTTAAACTTGTTTATTGCCTCTTTAAAAGATTCACAAGCATTATATATTTGTTTCTAAAAAACTTCAGTCTAGATTTATAATTCTGTATCCTCAGTACCAACCCTTTCCTCTCCTAAAAGTATTTCTATCAGATTTTCACAGAGTATGTATGTCATTAAAAAAAAAAAAAAGTAGCACATTTGTATAAGAAAATCCCATTTTCGTCATTTAGATTTTCAGGGTACTCATATAAACTTATGAATAGGATGTCTAAAACACCATGGAGACATGACCAGCAACACAATTCTCTACCCTTCAAAACAAATTTAAAAAGTCAAATAGAGACACCCACATAGATCTGATTACAAACACACGCAGCTTCTCCCGCAGAAAAGAAATTGCCGTATGTTGGAACACTTTGCTTCCATGTACCTCCCTGTACTGTTTCATGCCATGTTCTGGCCTAGGTACTGAATGTAGATTCAGTGTGGCAGAGGAGACTCCAGCTGCCAGTGTGAGGACTGCCAGCCCTGCAGCCGGGAGGTGCCTGGCACTGCTCCAGGCTTAATGTTCTCCACTGGAGGAGAGTGTGGGAGGTGGGGGACCCCAGCACGCACTGCACGGCAATCTGGGGCTTTCCACAGACACTGCATGAACAGTTAGAAGAGCAGCAACAGAGCTCTGTTGTCATCAAATTTATTAGTCAGCATAGCTTTTTTTCCCCATTTTTGCTTAGGAAGGAAGTAAACAGGAGTGAAAACGAAACAAAAAACAAACGACTGGGCTAGCAGGGTTTGCTTTCAGTCTGGGAAAATGCTGCAGCATCCAAAGAACAGCATGAAAGGAAGTGACAAAACAAGTACTTATAGTAAATATTTCATACAATTAAGTATTCAATTTCTTTATTACTATATAGGTGCACATTGCTACATCCCAAAATAAAAATGAACTTGTTGCAAATAAAACTTGTGGATGAAAGTTTGGCACCTTAGAGTTCTTGCAGGAAAATGGAAGTTAGGAGGCTTATTTACTAATAGATTTTACTACTATAGAAGTACTTAATTATATGTCTGATAATAACTTTATGGTTGGGAAAAACTAAAATGAATGTTACAGCCATGGTAATGAAAGCATATTACATGAACTCTAACCAAGGTATGTTCACATAAAATGTCATTGCTATTTTTTATGTGAGCATTTACCAGAACTGTTTGTTGAAAAAATTAGATTCAAAGTATCTGAAAAATTCCAAAGGTTGGCAAATAATTACATTAAGATTCAGATTGTAAGTATTTCAGATTGAAGTCCACATTAAGTCTATTATGATTACTGAAATGGTAGCAGTTTGATAGGCTGTTCTGCTCCTGCAGTGTATAAGAAAACACAAATATTACAAGGGTGGTTATGTTCCAATAAAACTTTATTTACAAAAATAGCCCACCTATGGGGGGGATAGTTTGCCAACCCTTAAATAGATTATAAGGGTTAAAGTAATATTTTTGTAGGATAAGAAAAATTTGTAACATTTAACATATTTACCTAAAAATTTATTCTTTTGGGAAACCATCAAACAAACAAAAAAAAACCAAACCTAGAACCCTTAAGTAGTCCAAAAACCTTACCTGGTTAGGTATCCTCAGTGGGGGCCGTGGACCTCCAGGGTACCGAGGTGACATAAAAGGCTATTGAAGTAAAACAAAACAAGAAAACACCATACTGTAAAATACTGATCTGAAAATAGACTGTTTTAAAACTTATAATTATGTAAAACAAATTAATTTACTTTCCTATTCAGCAGCTTTTAGTAGAATTCTTCTAAAAAAATTACCATCCTATTTTTTATTTTGTAGACTATAGAAAATTTTAAAAATGATTCATCAGTGATAAGTAAAGTACAGCAAAATGTTTTAACTGTAAATTATGAAAGATATCTAACTGATAAAAAGAAAGATTAAGCAATTTGACTGAGTCTGAAAGAAGAGTTGCAGAAGAAAAGTTTATTGGCTCTCTCCATTAATATACATATTGGGTCCTGAGCATATAATTTTGACAGAATATGTGGTGTGATGATCCATTTTCTTTAATAATTTCAAAGTTGTCAATTTCTTCATCTTTTTGTAGTTCTGTTTAAAATGGTAAATAGATTTGTAATGGTCACTTGTAAAGGAACTTTGATTTCTCTTCACCAAGTGTCTGTTAGAATTGAAAATTGATTATGGACTTTAAAGTTGAAGTTTCTTTATATATTTTGAACCTAACGTGAACAAAGGAAAAAACAGCCCTATATTAAAACTCAAGTCAATTTACCTTGTGAGTCACAGGCTGCTGAGCTGTACTGACTCTTGACAAAGTCAAGAAAAAATTCTAGAAATAGTTCAGTGATCAGTGTTAAGTGGTAAGAGAATGATTTACATCATTTAAATTTAGGCAGAAAATTTTAAGGGCTTTTCTAACTTTATCCCCAAATTCCATTTTTATTATATTTTTTAAGCAATAGAAACATTAATTACATCTCAAGGCATAATTGTTTAAATATAACATCACTTCTTACAGTAATATAAGCAAATTATCAACTCTAAATGGTTGATCATGTAAACTATTAAGAATGAATTAACATGTAAGTAGAAAAGCCTGGGCAAGCGAACTCTGTATAGTGTATTACAGAATTAAATTCCACATTCTATATACATTTTTAGAAACCAGAACTGCAGTCAGCCACACATAATTTTCAGGGCTATTTTAAAAGCAACATCTGAAAAATAAAAATCTTGACACATTTATGCTGTATAGACTTTTCCTATATTTTTGGAGGGTCTGACACGCCAGTAATAGAACTAAGCAAGCCATTTATTTGCCTTTCTGCTCATTGTGTTCTTATATTTAAATACTCCTAGGTTTTCTGTATTAAAATGGACAAAACAGTGGATTTAAGTAATTTTTTTCACCTCCAGCTGGTAAAATGAGTGGATCTTTCCAATTTAAATTTAAATTTTTTTAGTTTTTATATATTTCACCAAAGTAGTTTTTATATATTTCATCAAAGTATGTGTTTCTTAAATATATTCTACACTGGATTAGTTAACTAATCCAACTAGAAGCCTATCCCAGCATTCAGGTGTCCTGCTATATTACCTACCCACCTAATTTCATTTATGAAAGTGTCTTTTAAATTAAGGAGTCATATTTGAATATTGTCACTGGTTTTAGAATGGCTGCCCATGCAAAGTAATGTTTATGACATATTCACCAATCCAAATTAAGGTACCAATTTAGTTTTTGAAATGTAGAGAAATAAAAGTAAGTTACTAATAATTCCTGTCCATAGTAAGCTCAGTTTAAAATGGATTACAGCTAGAAAATAGAATCAAATGCTGAGATAAACACTGAGGTTTGTCTTACTTGAACTAGAAAATTTGGGGTTTGCATGTTCATCTGAAGGTAAAATGTTGCTATAGAATTTAGTGGGCTATTTGAAAAGAATTTTTTTTTCTCAGATTGATGGCATTGTAAATTTTCATAGAATTCTTGTACTCTATCTGCTGCTGAGTTATGTGAAAGGGACTCCTGAGAGTTGGAGAGGCAGTGGGAAATGCAGGTGTCCAGAGAAGGGTTGGGAGAGAGGTGGTTTCTCCCTCTAACTCATTTCCTCTATATGCCCTCCTTGAAAAAGTTCAAATGCATTGCACTATATATGGATACATTAACCCAAAGTATCAGCTAATATCAGTATATAGTAGGTAGCTATAATACTGAGTGTTGGGTGTGAGATATGAATGCTGGAGATTAGTTACTAAGCACACAGATGTTCTGGGCGGCTAGAACTATCAGTGAACAACGTGGGTAATTATCCCTGGCTTCTGCTTAGCGTTTTTCAAGATTCACCATCTCGAAATTTAATAGGAAAAACAATTTTCTGGAAAATTTGGTTCTACATCAGTCCACTCATGTGAAATCAGTAAAATATTCTCTTTATCAAATGGCAAGTATCAATGAAAACAAATTATTTCAATCTTGTGCCTCCCTCTCAGGTCATATTACATCATCCCTCCTTGACATAACATGGACTATGAATGGCTGAAAATAAACCATGGTTTTAAAAGTTTTCTAAAGTTGGTGAAACTTACAAAGTAGGGTTCTTTGTAAGATGAATTGAGGGGCAAAATTAGTAGTTTGACAGGCAAATTGCATTTATAAGCATTCATTCTCATTTCCATGTTTCACTTATCTGCCTAAAGTAAATGGGGTTTAAAAAAAAAAAGACAAAAGTTGTAGGAACTATAGATCTGAGGCTGGAAGGTAGAGAGGGAGAGGAAAAGGGTTCAAAACAGAGGTGGGTTGAGCACAAGGGACCAGCTGATGACTCACAGGTGAGATGGGGCCTTCACATGAGCGGGGGAAGTGAAAGGAATGCAAATATATGATGTCAGAAAATCAATATTGGGTAACTAAATGAAAATAACAACTGTCGCAGAAATACAAACCAACTGTCCAGTTCGTTTTCTTGAAGTAATCTTTCAGTGAAAAGATTACACTATTAGAATCATAATTTATTTCAGCATGAATGTCATTAAAATTTAAAGGATTATTATTTTCCATTATATCAAGAATTATTCATGGAATTTTAAAATCTGCTTTCCTGAAAGGCAGGTTTTCTTTTATTCTTCACCCTTTCTTGCTAGCAGAAAGTAGTAATCTCCTTCTTATTTGATCTTTCATAAGCCCTTCGTGTTTTATCTCAGTTCCTTAAGAATTAGAAAGCACCAGCTCACTTTTTACACTCCAGTTGAAGACTGCTCAGCCCAGTTCTTTCCTTCTCTGAAGCTCCCAGAAACCCCCTCATTGTTATATAAATAGCTTACCGGGAAAGAAATTACAGGTTATAAGAACCCTTTTAAAGATAGATATATTGTATATCTTACATGACACTTTGCTCAAATGTTAACTTGTTCATATTTTCTACCACTTTAAATAGTATCAAAATAACATACTATGCTATCTCTGGTTTTTGATATTACACTGTACTTCTTTTCTAAGCCAAGTAAATATCTATTAATCTTCCAGGGGCTAGTTTAAACCATCTCTAGGAGCTCCTGTCCCCTACTTCCTTAACACTTTGTTCAAGCCATTATCAGATATTTAATAAACTGTGTGCCTAGATAAGGAAACCCACCTCAGAGAATAGAAAACTGTATCAGAGCAAGGAATTACCTTAATGTCAAGGTAATTAATCCTTAAAGTAAAATGGGTATTTCTTAGAATCCTTATATTGTAAACAATATATAACTCACTTTAGAGTTCATTTTAAATATTTCAGCATAGATTTAGAAACTCTTTAAATCTTAGTGTTTAAGAAAAAATTAATAGGCACATTTTAAAATCTTTTTTAAGTTTCTTTAAAATACAATCATCTAAGCATTTTCTATAAACTACATATTTTATGAGAACAACTAGAATAAATGAAGAATAGCACTAAATATAAAAGGGATAAATGTAATATTAAGGACATTTTACACCTCTTAAATGAGGTATGTTCTAAAATATATAAGTCCACAGGACTTATGTTAACTATCTGAATTTTTTTTGAGGACAGATTTACTTGAAAGTTTTTTCTAATTGTGGGAAAAATATCTTCTTAAATTGAAAGAAATGGACATTTCCCAAGGTTATAAAAGTATGAACTGACAAAACAACTTAATAAATGAATTTTCATTAAAATTTTTTTTCAGTCTTTAGAATAGAAAATCTTTAGACTTCATAGTCAACTCTATTTTATGTAAAATCAAAAACCAAATTTTTTTAGGGCTATAGTAACACTTTTATAGGATTATTAAGCCAGGAGCACATGCTTCATTCTTAAGAACAACTGACATAAAAATATTTGCTGATTTGTCACATCCTTTATTCCACAACTCCCCTCCCCATCCCCCCATCAACTGTGCAACCATTCATTCAATGTGGAATTCTTTACCCTTCCTATCAACCAGCCATGGGAACTTGAAAATGCAGTGGTGTTTTAGGTAAGCAAGTTAATTTGCATGTAAAACACTAATTAGCATATGTTCTTGATTTACCTAACTAAAAGAAATTTGACAACAAATTAATAAAACTTTTCTCTTAGCACATTTTTAGTGGAGTTTTGATACTACATACAGTCTTTAGTCCATTTATTTGTTATTTTAAGTGGCCAACATGGACCAGCAGAAGATGGGTGGGGAATGAGGTATACAGATGCAGTATGAGAAGAGTATCATCGTTGTAGCCAGAGCTCAGTATAATGGGATAACATTAAAGTTCATGAAGGAAAGGAAGCACTCAGCACTCTAAGGAAATTTATAGAAGAGCATTCAAATGACATAGATGCAAGCCCCTAAAATATAGCAAAAGGTATAATAAAGCTGAATCTCTTGTATAAATCTCACCTGATTTTATTAAAAATAGGTAGTATCTACTGCTATTATGAGTAAGCATTGATTATTGGCATAATATATTGGCCTCTCCAGTTAGTAAATGCTTATAAAATATGCATAGGGGTAAATTATATGTGCTTAAATAGGACACACATTGTATCTTGCAGAGGATCTAATAAGTAAATAGAGAAAAGAGTGCTGAAGACCTCAAGAAAATACTAAATTATAAATGTAGTATCCCCATTAACAACATATAAAGAGTTAAAATTTAGATG